TCCCTGTGAAGCTGTACTTCGGAGCAATCAAGGGGACCGGGTTGCGGTTGATCCGTGCTGCTGAGACCGTCTTGGTCTGCCAGGCCTTCAGCTCCACGGTGTTACTGGTGTGGATAAGGTCCTTGGGATGAACATGCTGGAGGTCATTGAAACGAGCGCTGCATCCGACTTGGAACCGGGCAAAGCCCAGGATGAATGCGTCCAGTGCCTCGTGTCTGCTCCTCCCCGGGGCCGCCTGCGTACCGGGGCCGGTGGCACCCTGGTAATCGTAGCCAGCCCCTTCCTCCAGAGCCCATATGACCTCTTTGCTGGGGACCACCGCCTTGCGCTGCGGCCGGGTGACCGTGTCCGTGAGCGCCTCTTCCAACGAGCTCTTCTTGGACTTGAGGCGATGGAGCTCGTCTATCTTCAGCAAACCGAAGGTCTTGGAAAACCACTTGAGGGTGTTCCACACCTGCCGTAGCTTGCATGGGGTGACCTCCTCTTCGGAGAGCTGGTTGAGGAGAGAGCGGACATGTCGTTCCTGCCATGGAATCACCGTGAAGCCTCTCTTCCGGAGACTCTCGTAGACCAGGCAATGTTGTCTGAGTGTCCGGAACCTGCTGTCCCCCAGGAGGTCCAATGCCACCTTGCGGAAGTCCTCCCCCAGCATGTCCTGCATGTACGCGATGTGCTCCGCAAACGGGGCGAAGTGGGCGAGGAGCCGTTCCGCCCATTTCCCGCGCATATGGAGTTCCATTGCTCGCTGAGTCGTGGGCTCCATTTCCCTTATTTTGCCCGGGCGCCAGTGCCTCCACTTCAGAAGCTCTGGTTGTTGGAGTGGGGGTGGGTCATCTCGTGAGAACCACCTCCATTGGTCCTGGCGGTCCCATTCATTCTCCAGCAGGGAAAAGTTTTCGCTCGGCTTGCCATCCGCCGTCGCCAGGAGGAGGAACCATACGCTGTCCCACAGGTCGGCCAGGTCCGCCGCGGACAGAGGCTGGGGAAGCCTGCCTGCCGCCGATGCCACCAGGCCGTTGAAGTAGTCCGTCGGGACCACTTGGTCATCTTGTCCTACCGGAATGCGCGAGAGTTCCAGGAGCTGAGCGAAGCGGATTGCCGGGCTCACCGCCCAGCTTCCTCCCCTCCTCCTCCGTGCCTTGGCGCAGGCACATCAGGACCAACAGCTCCCCGTCCGTCTGTCTCGGGGAGAAGGACTCATCCGCCAACGTGTCCCATAGGACCCTTGGAATGCGGTCCCAGAGACGTGTGTAAGGCGGGCGCATAAGAAACTTGGTAGATACCCTAGCCATGATGAAAAACGGGGGGGGGGGGGTTCGAGCCTCCTATCGAACAGCCGGGACCCACCCGCGGCACAATGCATGCATGCTCCAAACTCGCTGACTGCAGAGTGCAAATGGAGCAGGCAGGCCACACGCATCTCGACAGGTCCCCCCCCAAAGTCCCGAGAATTCAACCGGAAGGGGGGGGGGGAGCGACCCAAAATCAGCCCCCCAGAAACCCCCAAAAGCACAAGGGGGGAGACCAACCCGGCGGGGGACTCCCCAAAACCCCAAGCAACCTCCAGGAAACCAAGAGTCAGCCGCGGCCACCTTTTCCGAACCGTGGCTGAGATGGCCCGTCCTTGGGGCAGCCAATGCATGTGACCCAATGGTCGTGGAGATCAAGCTGCCGTGACGTGTCGAACAAGAGAGGAAAACAGTGGTGAAAAACGAACCCAACAAGGAAAACCCTATACCCCTCCCCCCCCGGAGACGGGGCCAAAGGCACCCAAGTCCCGGCGGGAAGAAAGCACACGATTCCCACATCCGACAGGGTTGTGAGACAAACGATGAGCAGGTTGTAGGTGATGCCGTCCGCCTCATAGGTGGCCGAGGGTGCCTGAAAGGGGACGAACTCCTTGCGGGGCAGACCCAGCACTGCTTGGCTGCCTCTGGCCACCCCGTGCCGCATGCCTTGCACATGAACTTGTAATCGGAATGGCCTGCATCGAGCCTGTGCATGCGCTGGGTGCCGATACACGCCTTGTTCCTCTGGAACTGCGAAGCCCAGACTTCCTCCTGGCGGAGCTGGATCTTCATCGGGACATACGCCTCCAGGATGCGAATCACCAGGTCCTCGGTGAGATTCTTCCCGACAAACTTGTGGAAAAGGGAGACCGCCTCCTCCACCGTGATGTCCCTCAGCAAGGTGGCCGCCGACGCCGGAAGGACTGGAAACAGATCCGGGAGGTCCACCAGCTTGAAGTACCCGGGTTTTCCGTCCACCGGCACCAAGGAGACCGGTTTGTTGGTCTGGGACGTAGCCTTCTGAGAAGCCGCCACGAAGCCCTTCAGCCTCTTCGTGGGTGGAGTCTGCGCCTCCTCCGGTGGTGTGGTCCGCTCCATGCCATCCGCATTCCCCATGTCCTCGTCGCCCTCCTCGGCGGGGCCAGGGGCACCCAAGCCGGAGGTCGGTGTGGCAAATGCCACATGGAGACGCTCCAGTGCACTGGAGAGGTCCTTCATCACATCGGTCGCCGAAGATGACGGGGGGGCCTTGGGCTCGTCCAAAACCAAGCCGGCCGCCACTGCCGCCTCCCGTGTGCGAATGTCCTGGGCCTCCTGGCTGGCCATTTCAACCTCCTCCACGGTGAGTGTCTGGTCCTCAATCAACTCAAAGGAAGTTGCCGAGGTTGCCGAGGAAGCCATTGCTTGGTCGGGGTTAAGTTCGAAAATGCCACAGATCAAACTTTTTTTCAAACAGCTTGGGTTCCAGGAACCCAGATCAATGCTTGAGCCAAAATGGCACATGCCATTGTGGTCAAGCATTCCACACACAGTTCATGTTTCCACATGCGTTTCAACATTAACAAAATAGAAACGTTGAAGATGAAATCTTGATATTTCTAACTGTAAATAAATTACCACCTTACGATTATGTTAAACAGTTTCTTAAAATCAGTAAGAAAAAATATGTAATGATTGCTGATATATTATTGATGTTGTGTTATAGTCAAAAGAAAGGAGAAGATATTAAAGAATATATCAAATTTTATATTGAAATTTATAAAAAGTTTAATGTTAAAAATACCGTGAGAGATATTAATATTATTTTTAAAATGATGTATGAAATAAGTAAGACAAATCAATTAAATTATTATCCTGAACTGAAATTATAAATTAACCCAAAAACCTTACAATAAAAAAACATTGTAAGATTTATGTTTTGAAATTATGGGGATGTTATATTTTGGGACTTTGGGATTTTGGTAAAATATATTTTGGGAATTTGGGATTTTGGAAAAATATATTTTGGGAATTTAGAAACATATTTACAAAATTTATGTATCAAATCTTGAGTTGAGGTTCTGTTATGAATTGATGAAAAAATATTATGTGAATTGGTCGGTTGAGGGGATTTTATCCAACTGGGGCATCCCCTTTGGTAGGTGTAACTGCCCAAACATCCAGGCATTCTTAGATTCTCAAAAGAAGATAAGTGGCTTTGGGTTCTCTTTCTAGAACAAAATCTGTGTTTAGGGAAGCCAGCAAAAGCCAACCACCAGGAGAGCTCATTCGTGAGAAGCCCACATACCGAAAGATCGGAATTGGAGCCTCCAAAACGGGTCGTCCTTGAGGGTCCCTTTGAATACCAAAGAGAGGCTCGGTCCACTTCCGGAAATGACTCCCTTCTTTTGGGTGTCGACCGCAAGCTCTGGCGACTCAAAGGTAACGTGCCCCCAACCGCAAATGAATCGTCAAAGAGATCCAAGTTTTTCACTAGCAAAGCGTCTAACGCTTAGAGCCCCACCTCATTCGGGACACAGAAACCGAAATGGACTTGATGAACACCGAAGACAACTGAGTCATATCAAAACCCGGTATTAAGATGGTCGACTCGGTCGACCCCAGCTATTTATGGTTGGGATTGTCCCTTACTAACCATCATCAATCCCCGGGTTTTGATTGTGGCTCAACTGGGGTGTTGTCCAAATGCTTCCATTTACCAGGGTGCCATTTTGGGTACCTACTTTTGACCACAGCCATATCTGGTTGCTGCGATTGCTGAAGATATACGAGCAGGGCCTTGCGCTCCTTTGCCAGAGCGAGTAAAGAGAGAAGGACGAAGCGACGAGGCTCTACACTCTCTTTCCCTCGTTCCGTCTTCTCTGATTCTCTCATCTCTTTATTTCTCTCGTCTCTTCGAATCGACGGAAGGGAGATAAATCAGAGAGAGAGCAGCCCATTCCAATGTCCCTTCCATATAGTACAAACTAGAAAGGACATGAAGCGAAGCACCATTCCGAGTCCTTCCAGCTGAGGGGAGTCCTTCCTTCCTTTTTTCCACCCCAAACTCGGACTGCCTCCGCCGGCTTGCATGCCGATGCGGGGCGCACCTGCGTGCGAGTTGGGTTTTTGTTGGGCCTTTTAAATGGGGTCTCCCGCACCACCCGAAGCGTCTTTCATGATCTACCCACGTAAAGAAAACTTAAAGACCGGATGCGAAAACACCGCTTGGGACTATCCCTTAACTCCTTCATCTACCCGGGTTTTGATCGTGGTATTCCCATCGAATCTGATGTTTTGGTGTTCTGCCTGCTTGCATTTACCCTAACTTGGAACACGGTTTTTGCATTGCTTTCCTCCTCAAGGGTTCGGGCGTGGGTTCCACAGCAACGTGGGTGGAAGGGTACTACAAACTGTCTAAATTGGAATAGGGTTTGGGGTACTTCAAATAGTCATGATAGGAGCAAACTCCTGGTTTTGCTTCGCCCCTTAGGGTTCAAGTAGATTCTGTGCCATGTACTTTCAGCAACTGTACACTGGTTGTCTCAAAATTCCGCCCTCTAAACCAAGCTGGTAAGGGTACCGACTCTCAAAACCACGCTGAAACTCCCAGAAAAATTCTCAACATGGTGGGTTTGCTGTTGGGTTGTAGAGGGAAGTCAAAAGGAAACAACCAAATGATGGACCCCAGTTGTGAAGGGAAACAAAGGTTTCCCCTCTGAGCCCTCCAGCCTAGGGTCGCCGGCCGAGACCTCAGCGGTGTCTGACTGCGGTGTCGAATTGTTTGGAGAGTACACTTTGCAGCTTGGCTTCCAGGGAAACTCAAAAGCAACAGCAAAATGTTCGGGGTCCAAAAGGTGTCCAAGCCGATTTTGTTGTGGGAAATACAAGGGGAAACCACATTGTCACATTGCTTTTTCGTGGCCAGGAATCCACTGTTTTGACACATATGTTGCTTGAAGGGGAACATGTTCACATGGGCTTTGGCCTAGTGAAACTGCTGGTTGGTTGGAGGGGAAGAGTCCGTCTTACGTGGGAGTCGAACTCGCATGCTTCGAAAAGTAGCCGTATCCCACGCATGCCCAAGACACGCTTTGAGGAACCAAAGGGCCAGCAAAAAGAGGCGGCTTAGAGAGCGTGCGGAAATGTGAGGAGTTGGCAGCATCGCTGGAATCATCTGGGTGTAAAGCAAGATGCTGAGATTCCTTTTGGTTTCCCTCTAAACCAACCTGAAAAAGGTACCCACACAAAACCACAAAGCAAGCGAACAGCTTGCCTTGAAGAAATGCCAACACCTCCGGCAAGGATCTGAGCAAGCCCATTTGAATTGATTGGATACAACCCAAGGTAAGCGAGACAAAAGCCAAGCCACCACCCGGCCAACTCCGCGGCTAAATCTCTGGTTCCCGGCGGAGCCACCATCTGCCTTGGTGCACGTGCGGACACTCCCCCGAAACGGACTCCCAAGAGCGGCATGCCCAAGGTGCGTGGTGAAAATGGCCGCGCCTTTTTTTCCGAATGCAACACCCCTCTTTGGCACTTTGAAGGGGGCCGAATTGGGTGGGGTCGGAAACATATGACTTCAGTGTGAATAGCTTTTGTCTCGAATGTGCCAGAAGGAACTGCCAGTCCAGTGGCCTAGCAAACCCCATCTGTTGAATTGGCAAGCGCACAAGGGCGATCAAATACCCACTGGGCCCACTGGGTGCTTCCAAAGATGGCAAGACCAAAAACGTGTTGGTTCTGGTATGGTGTCCCTTGCAGCAGCAACCAACTTGGGGAGTCCCCAATTTAGGATTCCTGAGGGACCTTTTTGGGTTTTCAAAAGGGTTTTGAGGGGTTGTCGGGCCTGGTTTTGCCTATTGTCTTGTTCTTTCGTTTCGGGCACGGGGTCCACATCAGGCCAACTAGCCCTCGCCCCCCTTTACCCCAATTTGGCCACGGCACCCGTTCGGGCGCAGGGCACGGCGCGTGTCACCGTGGCCTCGGGGCGGTCGGCGTATGCCACGGTCCAAACTTGGAGCCTGTGAAGAATGTGGACTTTTTGCGCCTGTTTCTTTTTCCCCGCCACCCCCCGCCCCCCCAACCCCCCCCCCTTTCCCAGTTTTCATATCTTTGGGTCTGAATTTTGATATGGGACCACTATTTAGGTGGGGGTTCACACTCACCAGTTTGAGGTGGGTACTACTTGAAGCGAAAGCCAATTATTTGAGGGTACGTCTTATAGCTTTTAGGTCTTGTTGAAAGGGAAACCAAAGGAAACCGGAGGTCAATCTCTAGTTTGACAGATATCCTTATCATAGTAGGAGCTCTTGTATTTGTCTGCTAAACTCGTAAGGCCATGACCATCCCTGCCCTGCGTATAGCGGTCTTTCGACCACATAATTGTATCCCCCAACAAAAACACGAGCCTTTTTTGAGGGTACCTTTTTTCACTTTGGTTTAAAGGGAGGCCAAAAGGAATACCACCATTGGGGGGTCCTTCTATTTTTGACACATACCCATGTGCGTGTGTGTGTGTGTGTGAGAATCTTCCTTGAGTTGTTTCATGTCTGTGTGCGTGTGTGTGCGTGTATGTGCATGTGTGCGTGTGTGCGTGTGTGCGTGTGTGCGTGTGTGCGTGTGGCGGTGGGTTGCAGCAAAACCACCAGTTTTCGGGTCCCCTGCAACCCGCGGCCCGGGCGAGTCTGAGTGCCCGGCTGTGGCTGCGAGCGTTGAACATGTGCGTCTTCTCAGCCTGAAACGTCGATCGCTCGGCTTCCCAAGGCATAGATCAGAAGAAACCATGATGTAGCACCTAGAGGTAGAAATGCGCATGGCATGAACTTTTCACTCTTGCAAAAAGTGGTAGCCTCACGTGGAGAATGTCGGAATGTCATCGAAAAGCGACATGAGAAGTTCCGAAAAAGGGGCTCTGGTGGGAGTTCAGAGCGAACCACTCATTAGCGGTCCCGTTTTGGGGCACACCCGTAGCTGCCCAGGTCATCATGCGCCGGGTAACATTTTCTTGAATTTTAAGAATCCTCACAAGGGCCCCTCATTGTAGACGACCCCCATGTGGCTAGCAAGTTATTCCACATGCTCGATGAACATTGGGTTCTTTCAAGCGACTCTTCCGAGTTCGGCCAAGAGCTTCCCCTCGGTTGGCTCATGGCTAACGGGATGGAGCTCACCGGGCACGCACCCAAGCCCGAAAAGTGGCACCAGGAACCCGTTTGATCCTGCTGGTCGTTCTTTGAGTTCATGCTTTTTGGCTGGTAGACCAAGTCCTTCCTGGTCTTTGACCGGAACCGTTTGTCATCCGTAAACTGGCCACAAACCTTCTTCAGTCAAACCAGCAGCAACCAAGCCGTTTGTAGTTCTCTGGAGCAAGACCTACGCGGCACGTGCCAAACCCATGTTTTCTTGTTTCCTTGTTATCTCCCAAGCCTGCGCCCCTGTGGCGCCGCGGTTTTACCTTCAGTGCTTCCAAGCCACTGCAAAACCACGGGAAACCTCCGCTTGACTATAGGAACCACCGAACCGGGCTCACTGAGGGCGGGCGAACCCCAGCGAACCGAGCTCACATTCCAAGCCCAGGTTTTGAGAATGTCCGCCCAGCCAGGGGCTAAAAAAGGGCACCCTTGTCTGGGCTGGTTGATTTCGAAAAAGATGCAACCCAACTCCAGTGGTATGCGCCTCACCTTTGGGCTTTGGGGGCGGCCAACACCGCGGGAGGTATTTTTTTTGAGGAGTCGACCACTTGCTGTGGTCCCGGGCAAAGGAGAGAAGGCTCGGGTCCTCTTTGGGCGCCTGGTTTGCCTCAGGTGACAACTTGGCTCACCGGTTACAGCCCCTCATGGGCGCGGGGCCGCCCATTTCGGGACAATGTTTTTGTGGGGACATGTCCAAAATCCCAAAGTCGTTGGACTCCTTCAGATGAACCGGAAACCCGGAGTTCGCTATGACTAGTTCAATATGGGTAGTGTCAAAATAGGACCCCAAGATATGTGTGTGTGTGTGTGTTTCTTTTTGGGGGGGGTCCGATTGGTTTCCCTTTAAACCAACTGGAAAAAGGCACCCTCAAAATCGAACACACACACACACACACACACACATGTGTGTATGTGTACATATTTTCCTTGCATATCAATCTCTGTTTGGGGGGCCCTTGCCAGACACCAGGCCACTTGCTCCAAGAGCAATGGAGAGGTGGATGGAACGCTTCGACCCCTTCTGAAATCTAAAGGTCGGCCCCTCGCAAAACACATCCCTCCTGCAGAGAGCCTTCGAGACCTCAAGCGCCAAGGTTCTGACACGGCCGGTGCCAAAACATGACGCAAAGATGTATCAGTCACCACGCCCTTCGCCAAAAGGTAAATAGAAAGCGCCTTCAGCAAATGGATGCTGGCAAACGGTTCAAATGGATTCCCTTCACCAAAATGGATCTTAACCATGACATGCATGATGATTCAAACAGTTTCGCGCCGAACAAGGCCGGCTAGGGCCTTATTCTCCCCTGCAAAAAAATCTTTGAACCACCCACGTTTTGGGGGGGGATCTGAGGGTCCCGAGTTTCACATGAGAAGCGCATGACCCGGTTCCCGCTGGCGAATGAGTCCGGAAGCCAACTTGAGAAGCGCCGGGTTCGCGTAGTTGCTTTTGGTTCTACCCAAATGGTCCCAAGGTCCGGTATGGCCCTGCTACCCCATGAGAGCTGAAAATAGAATCCCATGCAGAAGTGGCCATATGGCTCCCTGATGGCCCAAGGAAGGTGATAAATGCCTGAGCAGGTTCAGGAAAGAGAACCTCCCATGGACCCTTCTGAGGATCAGTTTCAAAGGGCAAGCAACATGAAACCAGCCTCTCAACAAAAAGTTCCCGGCTTGGACACATGCCGACAGCGCACATCAGTGTCAAAACAAGAAGCGCCCCCAAATGGCTGGTTAATCCCCCAAAACGGGATCCAACTGTTACATAGACAAATCCAAAATAGCCCCAAATAATGAATCGTTCAGAACTGCGATGACCTACGGACCAACCAGGATTCCATTCCTTAGTTGCTCCGTAAATGGACCTAAACCAAGGGGACACCCATTTGGTGGAACATAATCCAGTCACCTCTTGGTATGTGATATTTACCTCTAGGCTGTGTTACATGCCATGGTCGAAACTCCTTATGTGGATCATGGCGGTGGCAAAATTCCACTGAAGGGTAAATGCAGCTTTGCCCTGGTCACTGGAGGGGACCCTTGGGATTGGAAAAACAGGGCCACCAGACGCCCCGGGCTGCACCAGAAGCCCCACTAGGGCTCCGCGCCGCGAAGAGGCAGGGGCCCTGAAAAAGCGCACAGACTTCTCGCGAAGTGTGTCATGCATCTGCTGCCAAGTGGCAATATGCCCAATGAACAGAATGCCCAGGCAAACTGGGAAACACGAACCGGTGTCTCATGCTCTTCTCACACACACACACACACGCACAGCAGAGCAACACACAACACAACACACCAAACAAACACGAACACACACACACACACACACACACACACACACACACACAAACACACTGTGAACAGCTCCCCGAAAGGAGCCAAAGAAACTTGATGTCAGATGTCTGGCTCACCGAATGTCGGGCAGAACCAGAAACACGCAAAAGCAGGTACGTTTTCACCCCCATGGTGTCTGGTCTTCGTTGGCCAGGACAAACATCCATGGGTTCCTGGCCCCCTGCGGTTTGAAAAAAGCCTTTGGTCTCAGGCTATGGCACACACACTAGGCACCTGAACAGGTGTAACATCAGTCGGCTACAGCCGTGACCAGCATTGTATTGGTGGGTACTATGCAGCCCTGGGATTTTTGAGCTCCGCAGTCAGGATCCGGCACGGGGCCAAACAAGGTTTCCAAAAACAGGTCCACCTGGAGTGGGAACATTGTAAGGCGAACGCAGTCACATGGGGCTGCTTTAAACAAAAAACATGAAACATGACACCCGTGCCCAGGTCCGGAGCGGAGCCAATGCCGGATGCTATGAAGGAGCTGTACATCATAGCCGCGAGCGTATAACTGTACCAAACGAAATGTGTCTTGCTCAGCGACGGAGCGGGGGTAACAGTTTTTGGCTGCGCTTGACACCTGCGTATTTGTGAGACATGGTTCCTGCAGAATCAATGGGCCGGAAATGGTAAGCTTCGCTGGGAAGTCGGAAGCTCAAAGAAGGTTGGTGAACATCCAAGTTAAATCCTAAAAACTCACCATCAGGCACAGTTTCAAGCTGCACCGGGCGCAAATAGAAGCTCAGGCTCGAAAACTCTTGTAGTTGGCGCGCTTGAAATAGCGCACGGTCCGCCACAATGAGACGATTGTCAACGTATCTTGTAGTGAAAAGATACGGGCGATGAGTCTCCAAAAAACCTGCATTGCGTGAGGCCCACTGCTCTTCCAAATGGGTACCGTGAGCTGGACTCACTTGGTTCCCTCTTGCTGAACCACGCACAGCGTGAGACATCATCCGGCAAGACTGGGTTGGCCGTCAGAAGGCGGCTGGCATACCATTGCTTCGGAGATCGCGATCCACATATGCGTCAGCCAGGTCTGGAAGTGACCAGTGGATGGAACATAAGGATCTCCGGAGATTGTGCAGAATGCCAACAAAAACATCTTCTGGCGCACTCGTCGTGAGAGGACCAGAAAAAGAAGAAGAGGAAGCTCGAGCCACCGCAGGGTGGACATTTACCTCGATTGCCAGGCTCAGAAACAGGTTTCACAGTACTCTTGGTCACCGCTGGCGCAGGTGGCGGGGACGTTGGCGGGGGGCCTGGCATGACAGGTGAAACATAAGGTCGAGGCGGTGAAACATGCAGTTGAATCAGTGAAATGCAAGGTCGAGTGAGCGCAACGTACGGATTGACAGCATGCGAGTGGCTCTGCCGCAAAGGTCGCCACTGCACTTCTTGCACACCGGGCGGCGGAGGGATCCATAGTTGCGGCGGGCGTCCTGCGCCCTGGCTTTGCGCTGACAATGGCGCTTCAAAATGGCTGGGCGGCGCCGAAGCTGAAGACGGCTGTTCAAATTGCCGGGTGGTTTGTCCAGGTAATCAACAAATGTGGTGGGGCTGAATGCCAACACAGAGGCGGGAGGGGCGGGATCAGTTTGAACTCCCGCCGTGGCTTGTTGGAGCGGTAGTGCCAGGGGCGGCCTCTGTTGGAGATCCAGCGCTCGAGGCGGTGGTGAAACGGCTGGTAGCTCTGCCGGCAAGGCAGAGCCTCCGGTGAAAAAGTTCAACTGTAAAATGGGGAGCTCGGTCCATGGCTGGCAAAACGAAAAGGAAGCTGGCGCTATTTACCTTAGCAAGCTACTGAGCTTGGAAGCGGAAAAAGGCGGTGAACAAACTTTATTGTTCTCTCCTCGTGTTTGAGCCTGCAAACCTTCAACCGGTATGACCAGAGTTCCCTCGTCAGAACCAAGCCATAATGGATCAAGTCAGAAAGGATCAAGGCATAACGGATCAAGGCTTAAGTCGCTCACAGCTCAAGATTGAGCAATCACGTCAGATGGATCAAGCGCCTCGTGGAACCCTGGGTGGATCAAGGCTTTTTTGAATAGGCCTCGCAAGAGGCTCACGACTGCTCCGCGAGCGGTAGGTCCGAGGACCACGCAGCCGGACGATACAGAGAGACACAGAAACAAAGAGACAAAGAAACACAGAGACACAGAGACACAGAGACAAACTGACACAAAGACACAGAGACACAGAGACACGGAGACACGGAGACACAGAGACACAGAGACACACAGACACACAGACACACAGACAGACAAACACACAAACAAACTACATGCATGCATGCATGCACGCACGCACGCACGCACGCACGCAGGCAGGCAGGCAGGCAGGCAGGCAGGCAGGCAGGCAGGCAGGCACGCACGCACGCACGCAGGCAGGCAGGCAGGCAGGCAGGCAGGTAGGCAGGCAGGCAAGCAGGCACGCAGGCACGCAGGCACGCAGGCACGCAGGCACGCAGGCACGCAGGTACGCAGGCACGCAGGCACGCAGGCACGCAGGCACGCACGCACGCACGCACGCCCGCCTGCCCGCCCGCACGCACGCACGCACGCAAGCACGCACGCACGCACGCACGCGCGCACGCGCACGCGCACGCAAACCAAAAAACTATCAAATACACAAGGCAAACCAGCAAGCAAGCAAGCAAGCAAGCAAGCAAGCAAGCAAGCAAGCAAGCAAGCAAGCAAGCAAGCAAGCAAGCAAGCAAGCAAGCAAGCAAGCAAACAATAGGTGTCCTGTTGGTCAGCATGGTGAAACATAGATGGCACCGCTCCACTTGGCTTATCATTTGCCCCCTTCTGAGACTCATCCCAAAACAAGCCGATCTTTCCCAACCACTCCTGAAGAGATGCAAGCCCTTCAGGCGTGTCCAAAAGCTCTGCTTGTCATCTTTGACCTCACTTCACCCAATAGTTCAGCTAAGCCCGGTCGCTGTGGGTCCTTTGGTCTGCCGCAGAAAGCAGAAACTAGATGCTCGGTTTGCGGAGTCCACCTCTTCTGCTCCTTTTGTACTCTTTCGGTACCCAACCACACATCCAAACAAGAAACATCCATCCATGAATTCCATTCAAATATCCCAAGCCATCCCCCACAGGCCAGGGTCCCAGCCGAGGAGACTTGGGGCCGCGGGGAGCTCCAGAGCGACCTCAAAGGACGTGCGTGCGTGGAGCCGCTCGGAACCCGTTTTTTCCCCGTAAACGGGTCTGAGGCATCTCTCTCAGGGGCTCGACTTCGACAGACAAGGGGCTTGGCTTTTGCGGTTTTGACAAAACCTGTGAATTTTACTAGGGAACCACCTCACAAGTGGTGGACATGAATCCCCACCTGGATGATCCACACTCAAATGACCTTTCAATCCCTTCCCAGTTTCCCTTGTCGATGCCTTTTCCGATTCGAGCCCAGGGCGTGTCTGGCTCCGCCGGCCTCACAGCTCGAGTGAGGGGAACAAGCTCGACATAGTGCTAGTACCCTCTAAATCTAGAGGGACCCTCTTGGAAGTTCGATGTTGGTGGGTGGGAGGGTGCTCCTTGAATTTTGAGATTGACAAACCCAAACCCCTGCAAGAAGCCCGGAATATACGGGCCCCCTTTGTTTGCCACTGTCAAAGTCACCCGTTTAAGAGGTAGGTCAAAGAGAAACAATCGCAGCTTCTGACTTGATAAGCCCAAGAAAACAGCAAAAATAATGACCCCAAGTAGGGTGACCCGGATCCTCAGAAATCATTGAAATCATGCATGATGTAATTTTGAGTTTTTAGCTATATTTCCTACAAGCGACAGGTGCTTGGAAACCTCCCAAACTGCTCCTTGTCTCGTGGTATTTGCAAATCCCTGCAAGCCAGCAGTCAAGAAGCAAAGGTACCCAATCTGGGCCAGTGGCAAAACTTGACGAACCTGGACTACGCCAAGGAACAGGGAAGTTCAGATCCGTACCAACCTACCATGGCGCCTCCACAGCTTTTGCTTCGCAGCTACGCGAAAAAACACGCGGGCCTCCTTTATCCCAACCCCGGAGGCCCCAGAGGCCCCCCGAACCCCCCAAAGAAAGTCAAAACAGTTCCCCACCCCACCCCCCCCGCCCCTCCGGGCAAAAAGAAAACAACTGTATATATATATATATATACACAGAAGGGCACCTCATGGGGGGGTGGTTTTTTGGCACACCCAAAACAGGGGAAAAAAGAAGAAAATAACAGACCCATGGACTCCTGTATCTGGTGGGGTATGTGTTTTTGTTGTTTTTGTTTTGGTATTTTTGTTTTTGTTGGTTTTCTCGAGGTGTCCTCTACTTTTCAAGCAATTCTTGAGGACGCTGTGAGCGTGCGCTTTTTTCCGCTTTTTGAGTGGAAACTCGAGTTAAACCATCTTTGCATATTTTGTGTTTAAATGTCAGCTGAATTGTAAAGAAACTCGGTTGGAAAGAACATTCTGTTTAAACTATCAATCAAAATAGACCTATTCTAATTCAATTATTATGAAACAGAAGGTGTGATTGGATTCATTCCTTATCAAATTACGATTGAACTCTAATTTAATTGCAATGTTCTATTGGGAAAGGATTTACATCTAAATCCTTAATGTAAGATGCAATTTCCAGTAGAATTCTGATCAAGTATTTCCTTATTGAGTCCTATTGAAATCCTATTCAAATTCGAACTGAATTTTAGAGAGCGGCCGTTGGTGGAGATGTGAATTGAGTACGAAAAACGCTACAAACCACTGTGCTTTACGGTATTTTCTGATCATGGTAGTTCTGGCGCTAGTAAACACAAAACACTATTTTAGGACCTCTGAATTCTCTCCTTCTGAAATCTATTTAATATATTTGCCAAATTCTACCCAATGTCTAACTGAAATTAACTAGAAATTATTAAGGAACAACTCCAATCAAATTGTATAATTTAAATTAGATTTTCAGTTGTGATTAATCTTTTTTAACATAATGTTACACGGGAATTCCTTTTCCAGTAAAATTGTCCTTGCAAATCAGCAAGCATCTAAACAACATGTATTACACAGGCTCGGAACCTCTAACTTCTTTCGTTACAAATTCTACTCAATATATTTATCAAGTTCTACTTAATTCCTATCTCACATTAACTAGAATTTTAATAAGGAAATGGTCCGCGCAAAAGTGTTGGTTTAAAGTAGAACTTTAAAAATGTTTTCTCTATTTCAAAATAGGTGCTACACAGCATTTCCTGTCCAATAGAATTGTCTTTGCAGATCAGTAGGCATTTGAACAGCTTAACAATTTGGGGACCTCTAACTTCTTTCTTATGAACTCTACTTAATATATGTATCAAGTTCTACGGGTATAATAGTTCTAATTAAAACTAAGAAGAATGCAACAAGGAACGAGTCCAACCAGAGGAAACCTTCTCCAGCTTACTGTACTAGGGCTTGGATGTGAACTACACCAGCGCTCTTGATCACAGAAGCTCTTGCAAACAGGCCCGAAACGGTAAAGTACAAAAAGCAACTAGAGACAGTGCATTGCAGTCCTGCATCCATTGCATCTGTTCCCTATCAATCTTCGTCTCTTTCCGAATACAAGAAAGTGTAACTTGTAAAAAAGGCAATGTTTCAAACAAACAAACAAAAAAAGAACGGACAAACAAGCAAAAATAAAAACATGAGCCGCCGCACTCTCTCTCTCTCTCTATATATATATATATATAGATATATACATATATATATATATTATTCCGACTTGGGACCTACACCCCCAAGAGCTTGACGTCTCACTGTCCTTTCTCGGGCACCCGCATCTTCTGTGCCGTGCCTGAGCGGGAAAGCAACCAGTGCCTTGAGGCAAATGGTTTTTCCACATTGAGTGAACTGCAACCTGTAAAAAAAATGTTCATAAGAGATCGCAGGTAAGGAGACATGTGTGCAACCAATCTATGTGTGTACAGCGAATACATCCCTTTTTCCATACCATGCCTGAGAATTGCCTGGAGAAGCCCCTTCGCGACTCCATGTGGGGGCCTTGACGCCACGAACTCAACCTTTTGTCCAAAGATGCTCCCAAGGCGCCCACTAAATAATGCCGATGCAGGTCTTCCAGCGGGTGCCGAAACCTGTGTCAACCCACATAGTCTTGGCAAGCACTCAAGAAGTGCTTTCCCCTGCGTTCCCCTTGCCTTGAAGACCTGGCTGTTGCTCGCCTCTTGGTGTCGCAGCACAGAAGCTGAGTCAGCCAACTGGTGGACTTGGAAGGAAGAAACATGCCCCGGCCAAATCTCCAACAGGAACTCCTGAACCCATACTCCGGCAACGGGCGAATTGTGAGCTGATGGGGTCAGCCGAGCACTCCTAGCTGAAGCACGGATCCGCCCCCCCCACCCCCATCCCCCTATTGCGCTCGAGGTGCTGGGAACACGCTCGCCCACCTCAGCAGAGAGGAGCTTAAACCGATGCGGGATGAACTGCGGTTAATCCGGAGGATCCAAGTGCTCAAAGAAACCCCTCAAAAACATATTAACTGACTGGAAACGCACCTTTGTTTTATCACGGTCCTCCGGATTGTTCTGCAGTGAGACTCACGGATATGTTGGTTGACACTGCAAAGTTCCCGCAATAACTGGAAAACTCCATGAGTCCCCTGGCTCTTTCTTATTTAGTGTGTCCCCCATATCCCCAGTGTCATTGACCAAACTCTGGCGGTGTGTGCATGGATGGATGTGGGGCGCAAAATTGGAACAGACAGGATGTGTTTGTGTATACATCAACTTATACTTCAACTTATGGGTTTACAGACAACCACGTAGGACAAGCGCTACAGCAACAAGAATGCATGGCCGCAAACAAACTAAGATAACTTCAAGAACACACATTGAGCAGAAAAATGCCTTTGGACAATCATAGCAGAACCAACGGCCAAGCGAAAGGACAAAGGTTCACCAAAACAGGGATGCTCAACTGAGCCTGACACGGCAGATGTGCGATGCGTTGGAAGGGTTGCAATTGGCGCCCCCTGTGGCTCTGAATCCTATGATTTCTAGCGAAGGTCCCGAATCCCAATGCGGCAGCACACAAATGCTTCTCAAGAGCCTCAGGTCAGTGGGCGAGACAGCCATCAGCAAGCTGATCCCAATACCTGTTCAACCGGCTGTCGTTTTGCTCAACCAGTCCATTGGTGATGTCTGAAATGGCGGTGACCTCTCCAAGCCATCACATGAAACTTGACCACATTCCTTTTGAAGGGTCATTCTGGCGAATTCCATTCGGAGGTGTCTTCCATTGCCTTGCGAAAAAGAAAAAAGAGAACTCGAACCCCCACCCAAACAACTGCTTGGAATAAGGAGCGCTTAGACCTTGCTGATCCCAGAAACCCCATGCCAAAAGGTTGCGGGTGTCCTTTCGATCACGAGCGCGAGCCCTCGGAGCCCGGGCGAAAGTGTGGGAGCTTGCCCGTGGCTTGCTCCTCGTCAGCTTCGCGAAACCCTAAAACGGGTCCTTCTTGGTAGGTGCTGCTTGGCCAATGGGGATTGTTATGTGGATAGTTTTTCAATGGTTCCGGAGAACCGGAGCCACCCAGAGGTGATATCTCCCCTCATTTCGAGAACCAGCCATACTCTTTTCGGGTGTTGAAAAAAGTGTATAAATGTCTGTGTTCTGAGGGTACCCTCTAGGGAAGGAACTCAAAAAGAAACCGCCCAAAGCTTCATGGCTTTTGGGTCGGTTGACCATGTATCCAGTGTGGCTGACGCTTTGTCCCTCGTGGAAAGGGGGGCCGGGGGGTGGGGGGGGAGGGTTGAAATACGAAACCCGCCAGAAGGCCTATCTTTTTGGAGGGACAAGGGACACCAGGACCCCGTTCGGTTCCATATTGATGAAAGGTTGCAATCACACAGCGGAATCGGCCTGCCGATTCGCCGCATCCCAACTTCGGCGCTTGCAGCTTGGCGAAACAAGGCCCCCTGCAAAAGGTCATATATAACGTGAGCTGGTTGACGCGAAACACAAAGGAAACCTGCAAAGGCAACAAACAGGTGTGTGTGTGTGTGTGGTAAAAAAAACAAAAACAAAAAAAAACATCAGTTGCCTCTGTCAATCGCATGATGCATTCCAACATCTGTGACGCCCACCTTCATCACTCTTTCACTTCTTGGGCCTTAGCCAAAACCTGAATACCGTTTCCCACAAAACCGGGAGAAACGAATTGGCAAGATCCGCCTAGAGTCTTGAGCCATAGCCGGCTCCAAAAGTTGCCAGCATAGCCAAAAGCAAGAGCCAAGGCATTTGTCAACCAGGAGTATGACCATTTGCAAAGCCAAGTAGCCAAGTGACCTGTGTGTCTCTTTTCCATCCAGTGGCTTTCTAGCTTGCAGTCATGCACCCCAGAAACTTGCGTACGCATGTGTCTGCGCACGCATGCACATCCACGAATTTTCAAGTGTGTGTGTGTAAAGTCAGTTTAGAGCAAACATATGCAGGTATGCATGAAGGGAAGTACGAATGTATGCTTATCATCTACATGTTTACACATGTATCCATATATACACTTGTACATGAATATGTATGTATGTATGTATGTATGTATGTATGTATGTATGTATGTATGTATGTATGTATGTATGTATGTATGTATGTATGTATGTATGTATGTATGTACGTACGTACGTACGTACGTATGTATGTATGTATGTATGTATGTATATATATATGCATACATAGATGAAGATGTAAGAGTATGTAAGTGTGCATCTTGCTTCGTGCCACCAAATCATGAAACATGTATCCTGCCACGTTTCAACCTCCCCCCTTCCTCCCTGGACCCCGGTCGGGTCCCGTTGGACACCCCCGCAGGCACCTGGAGTCAGTTCGAGTCCCCGTGCTTCCCCTTGGGTCGTCAAAAGGGGCCCTTCCTTGGTATCCACTTCGAAAAGGTTCGCAGGGGTCCAAAAGGCTCGGATTCACAACGCTCGATCCAGACATTCCGTGGGGCAATGTGTTTGATACAAACCAAGGCACACGCGCTTGGGCATATTTGGAACAAGGCACCCTCAACAAAGGGCTTGGGTTTGGGGGAGCACTGCTTTGGCCATGACTCCAGGTGAAAAGCTGGCAGACACTACATCTTATGCGGGCAAACTATCTGGAGCAAAGGAATGCACCATGCGCCCAATGCTTATGGAAAACCTCTCTCGCCCAAATGTGACCGTGGCTCGTTTCTGGATTGGACTGTAGTGCAAATCGACATGAAAATTGTGCAGAGGAGGATGATTCCTTTTCTTGTCGCTTGTGGGGATTCCCGCATTGAGAGTGGGACTCCCAAAACCGCCCTCAGTCCCAATGCACCGGTCCTCGTTCCATGCCGTTTACGCACAAGAAACTTAGAGCTTGTTGGCCTTTAGTGGGTCCCCGCGACACAACAGACATCTTGACCAGCACCAATTGTCAAAGTCAGGAAACTTGCTCCAAAACTGTTGATTGCCTTCGGGGTTGTTCTGTTGTTCGTTTGGTTTTACATTGGACTTATTTCAGTGTTTTTTTCTTCTTCTTTTTTTCCTGAATAAGAACTGAGATGTTGGTTTTTGAGATTGGTGGATTTCTTGCTTGACTTGGGCTCTCCCAAACCGTTTGAACCCACTCGTTAAACCGGCTTCCATCTTTCCATCAAACATCCAAAACGGGGTGCCCCTCGAGACGCGCGCGGGCGCGCCTTGTCCACCTTCCGCCGGGGGGAGATACCCTCCCTGATGGCCGCGGCGTCGGCGTCCTACGAGAATTCCATCGAGGCGTCGGCGTGTTTTGGGGCCAATCGAACGCGAAGCGGGAAACATTTTCCGCTCAACGAGAGCGCATACATACATACATACATACATACATACATACATACATACATACATACATACATACATACATACATACATACATACACATACATACATACATTACATTACATACATACATACATACATACATACATACATACATACATACATACATACATACATACATACATACACACATACATACATACATACATACATACATACATACATACATACATACATACATACATACATACATACATACATACATACATACATACATACATACATACATACATACATACATACATACATACATACATACATACATACATACATACATACATACATACATACATACATACATACATACATACATACATACATACATACATACATACATACATACATACATACATACATACATACATACATACATACATACATACATACATACATACATACATACATACATACATACATACATACATACATACATACATACATACATACATACATACATACATACATACATACATACATACATACATACATACATACATACATACATACATACATACATACATACATACATACATACATACATACATACATACATACATACATACATACATACATACATACATACATACATACATACATACATACATACATACATACATACATACATACATACATACATACATACATACATACATACATACATACATACATACATACATACATACATACATACATACATACATACATACATACATACATACATACATACATACATACATACATACATACATACATACATACATACATACATACATACATACATACATACATACATATATATATATATATATGTATATGTTCCCGTCGCCCGTCGTCCCCAGCCCCCCCCCCCCAATGGTATGGGTCCATCCAGGGGGGGGGACCCTGGCCCCCCCGCCCCCGCCCCCCACAGGGGGGGGGGGGCTTCTGGGGCGGCTTGCTCCAGTGTGGGCGTGTTTGCGGCGCTGTTCGCGTGATGCGCTGCAATGCGATTTGCTCATTTTGCAGCACGCGACAAGTGGCAGCGCAGTGCGCGATGCCACGACGCAGTTTGTGGTTTGCAGCGCCACAACCAAGTGCCAACCAAGTGCGCTGCAACGCGCCAGTGGCAAACACACTTTGCTTGCTACCCCAGCGGGCGGTGTGGGAACCATGGTCGCGGGGTGCTTGGCGGTCACACTGTGCTACCATTCTCCCCACCCCCCATTCCCACAGGGGGGCGGGGGGGGTGGGAACCATGGACCCCCCCACCCATCCCACAGGGGGGCGGGGGGCTTGTAGGGTCACACTGTGCTACCTTCTCGACTGAGCATGACCATTGGGGGGGGTGGGGGGGGGACCAAGGAAGCCTGGAACATATATATGGTCACCCCCCCCCCAAGATCCACACCTAGGCTAAAAACACTGTAAATATGTATATATATATATATATATATATATATCTATATGTATATGTACATATATCTGACTATATACATACCTGTATATACATATACATGTGTGTATGTCCAACTATGTATATATGGTCCCGTGCTCCGTGTTGCTAACCCCCCCCCCCCAGATGGTATGGGTCCCCCAAACCCCCCCCCCCGGGCCCGAGACCCCGAGCCCCCGGCCCCCGGATCCTGGCACCTACGGTCCCACCCCCACCCCGACCCCCTGAACTCGCACCCCGACACCCCGGCACCCCCACCCCCAGGACAAGCTCAACTAACCCCAAACCAACCCTAAATACACCCTAAACCAAACCGTAAACCGTAGACCTCTAGCCCTAAACCAACCCTAAATACACCCTAAACCAAACCGTAAACCGTAGACCTCTAGCCCTAAACCAACCCTAAATACACCCTAAACCAAACCCTAAACCAAACCGCACACCTCTAAACCTAAACCAACCCTAAACCACCCCAAACCAACCCTAAATCAACATAAACCAACCCTAAACTAACCCTAAATACACCCAAACCAATTCTAAACCAACCCTAAACCACCACAACCCAACCACAGGACCACAACCACAGGGGGGGGGGGGGTACTTGTCTGACCCATGACCATTGGGGGGGGGGGGGGACTGGCCGCTGTGCATATATATATATATATATATATATATATACACGTATTTATGTGATATGGTTGTGTGTGATTGTCCGGTTATGACGGCTTCTCTCTAAACCAAATTGGGGAAAGCGAATCCAAATCCCCTGCTTCAGCAGATGGATGTTCTTCAAGGGTGCAGTACGCAAGTGTGGGAACACGTGGCATGGCCATGTGGGGGAAATGGTCTGTAGCTTTGAACGCTTGCGGGGAGCTTGCTTGCTCTCATTCTGGCAAGTTTCTACATATTCTTTGAGCGAGTAACCCCTGTCGGGCAAAAGGAATACATGTGTGCGGAATCCTTGTGATAAATTCAGTCGTCCCGCTGCACCTAAAGTTGACAGCTATAGGTTCAAGGCAGACACTCCAGATCCTCTTCGCCGCTCTCCAACCAAAACAAGCAAACTTGCGCCTGTGTTGGTTGTCAAGGAAGCCGCCATGACACCGGCCCTTTGCGGACCCCGGGATTCGGCTTTCGTAGCTGACCCCCTTCAGCTCGCCCGGTCCTTCTGCGCCTCGTCCTGGGATGGGGCGCAGGGTCCCACGGACCGCGGAAAAGTCAGGCTCGGAACAGTCACATCTGGCAAACTGTTTTGCATGGCCAGGGCCTCACGCGCCGTGGGGAAACATGCGGGCCATCGTCGCCCCCCTTGGTTTGTCATTCAGACCTTGGATGGCCCCGTCATGCGAAAAGAAAAACATATGTGGGGGAATGTTGCCAGTTTGCTCATCCGAGACTAACACATTACATTGTTGTTGGGGATCAACTTGCTTGCCTTTTCCACACGAAATAGATCCGAATGTAGAGAAATGTTGGTAGGGGTATCCCCAAATTCCCCACTGAGAACAAGTAAGAAAAACATCGGGCTGACCTATCACAATTCCCCCCTGGGGCCACAAACAGAATCCTCTTGTGGATGGCGGCTTTTGCCCCACAACATGGAAGTGGGTTCAAGCCTTGACTAAGAAAATAGAAGAACATCGCCTGACCAAACCTTCGTGGGCAAACCCGAACATGTGCAATGAAGCCAAAATAGCCTGGCCGAAACTTGCTCAAACCTGAACAGCTGAAAAGTCCCAGTCGGCCGGATTCCCCTCCTGGCCATGGGTCGGGAAGACCTGCCGACTCTTCCACCTCGGGCAGGCACCGGATGCTTGCCCGCATCGACGGAAATGATCCACGTCCCAGCCGAGGATTTTGGAACCATCCACAGGGTGGGCCCTGCATGGGAATGCATCTTCCCCTGCAAAAATCAATGGATTTGGGGGTGCGGGACCCGAAGACAAGCCAAAAGGTCCCCAAACATGAAGACCCATTTTCCAGGTCGAAAGGCCAGAGGATGCGCAAAGCACCCCATGTGCACGGGCAAATCATTGCTTTCGTTTCTGTAATTCCATCTCAGCGGGCCCGACCATCCTGGGATTGGGAGCCACTGCTTAAACCTTGCATCTCAAACGAGACAAGCGCTCAAACAGGGGTCGAACCTGGATTCTCCACGCTTCTTGGTTTCTTCACTTTCAACTTGAGCCCTGACTCATCATTTTCTTGCGGAGGTTTTAGTCAGGGGTCGCGCCTCTGCGGAAATCCGTTCCATGGGAACTCCTGATTGATGCCAGGAGGCATGTATCACATACAAAGAGGCCGCAGTCGCCAAATGAAACAAGTATAACGCTCCCCCAGAATCAATCAGGCATCTACTCTCCCCCACACTGACCCCCTTTCAACGACTTGGTTCCATTTACAAATTGGGGAGCTTTCGGCTGTCAGTCTGAGGGAGTGTACCCTCTTTCCCACAACGGATTCAAAACCCTCTGATCCTCAGCTTCCATGACTGGAGGGTATCCCTAATCTTGAGAAGAAGAAGAAAAAGAAGAAGAAAAAAAGGAAAAAGAAAAAATGGAGAAAACAAAAACGACAAATGTATATATATATATAAGTTTATTCATGGTGCTTTCTTTTTGAGTTTGGGGATTCAAACCACTTGGAGGGGCCACATCCCCCCATATTGATAACTGGCGGGTCGCTAGATTTTTCTCTGGGGACATTGGCATGGAACCTCACAGGTTGCGGGGTCTTGGGATGTCCAGGCCTTGGGACCTAAATTTCGGATTGGACTCCCCATGTCACGGGACCCGCGAAGGATTTGTGTTTGTGTGTGTGTGTGTGTGTTTGTTTTGTTGTCTGTGTGTGTGTGTTTTCCTTCTTCTTCTTCTTCTTCTTCTTCTTCTTCTTCTTCTTCTTCTTCTTCTTCTTTTTTTGGGGGGGGCGGGCTGTGACTTGTGTGTGTGTGTGCTTTTGTCTTTGTTTTTGGTGTTTTGTGTTGTTGTTTTGGGCGTGGGGGGTGTGAGGGTGAGTGATTCAGGTTTATCAACCACTTTGGATGTTGGTTCCAACTCTTGAAAGTCAGCTTGGCAGATTTATGCAATCAGGGTTCCACTTGTTGATTATCGCAAGTTCGGTAACCCCCAAAAAGGAACCCCTGGATTCTAGTTGAACCCTGTATGTAAAAGCTACCAAACTCACCAGGCATAACCAGAAATCCCCGAAGGACCCGATGGGAATCGCATTCCGGTCAAAGCAAACCAAAAGGAGCCTGCTCAAATCACGGTGGCTTATTGCCACTCAATTTAAGCAAGGTGAACCACCCTATGTCTCTCCACCAAATATGGTCATAAGTTGCACAACCTCTAGGTTTATCGCCTAGCCCACTTTTTCTCCAAATATGGCAATCGCAACCCACCTTGGCCGATTCCCTCCTTCCCCTTTCCCGCAGGGCACCCCCCCGGGCCCGGACTGTGCCAACTTCGTGCCGTTTGGCCTGCCACCGAGGAAAAACGACGGCCGAAACCGCTGGTCTTTTTGGCTCAAGCCGTGATAGGGCAAAGTGTCTTGGAAAAAGCAGCACCTTGGCTATCCAGCCCAAAAAAGCTGGCTGGACCCCTATAGCTAGTCTTTTCCATAGGCTTCTCCTCAATATCATCCTTGTGGTGAAAACAAAAGGGCCCTCCACATGGAAATGAACACGAGTTGCCCTTTGAATAGGTGGTGAAAATGAAGTGCCCTATACTTGCAAGCCCAACCGGCAAAGGGGATCTTTCCTGCTGCGGTCCGATTCGCAAAGTAATGCGTGGGAAAACTCTCCGGCAGCGTGACAACCAAAGTAGGAAGTCCAACTGCACATGATTCTCTTCTTGAGGGTACCAAAAGCGAAGGCAAAAGAAGAACCACTACCTTCTTTCCCTGCAACTCAGACTCGAAACTTGGCACCGCCGAATCGAATCGAAGAATTGCCTGAAGGGCTGGCTCAGGCCTTGGCCGGGCGAAAAGTTGAGATCCCTGGACACCCCTTGGACAACAAACTAACGAAGAAGACTGGATGTCCTAGAAGCCACTAGAACAGAAGACACCTCTGAACCCCAGCCAGGAGCTAAATGGCTGTGGGTCAAAACCAATGGTACCATTTTGGGGTAGGTGCACCACCCATCTTTGTCTATTCTAGTGGGGATTGGGATTTTCACAGGGGGTACGGGATTTTGACCCATGGCCAAATGTCGGGGGCTGCACACTTCGGGGCACACAGCAACTTGACCGTAGGCTAGATCTCCTGATCTGGCCCCAACTGATTCTTGTCATCAAACACGCCTCAAGTGGTAGGCTCATAGGTTTATGACTCCACTTGTCTGCATTGGAGAACACACAAACATAGTCCGAATCATGGGCCCTTTGTGAAGCGGGTCTGAGCAAGGCCCTGAAACAATATATATATATATATAATTATATGTATATATATATATATATATATGTACACAAGGGAAGGAGTGCATCATGCAATTCAAAAGGTCTTCAAGCCTCGCCCCCTGTCTTCAAGACGCCCCCTTGTGTTCTCCAAACCTTATGTTGCATCCCCAGGCTCTGAAGACCCCGGATCCAAATATTGCTATATGAGTGCTCTAAAGCGCGACAGAAAAAGGTACCAAAAAAGTGCCAAACAGTGCCAAACAGTGCCAAAAGAGACGTAAACGAGTGGGCTGGGGCCGGATCTGGATTCTTCAGCACCCAGGCAGTCCGAAGTTCGAGGAGACTGCTTTGCATGGCCACAACCCCCACCTCTAAAAGGCTAGTCGCAGCAGTGATGTGGGAAAAAGTGGGGTGTATAGCCTCCGGCGATTGATCGTATTGCTGTAGGCAAACAGGGGTATATAACCTCCATATAATTGCTGTTAACTGGATTCCAGAGGCAGGGCCATGCGCGCCAACCATCTTAGATTGCCATACCACATCCGAAAATTTGGTCGCTGACCCAATCGCCTGCTTGCCACATCCCTGGGCAAGTTTCCTTTCAAAAACTGCCCCCAAATACATGCGGATAGCAGGGAACTGGGTTTTAAAGAAATACAGCGCGCGCGCGCAGGATGTGTCCACAAATTCGGGGAGGGGGGGCTTCTTTTGGATGTTGTTTACAGGGAAACTACAAGGAAAACGCCTATTGCATAGGTGTGTCTTTTTGAGGGTACACGTTCAAGAGCTATTTCAAAGGGAAGCCAAACGGAATCCAACTGTTTTTAGAAGCGAGGGGTTGGTCTAAAGCGAAACCAAACGGAAGAAAATACACATCGCAAATTGAGGCGGAACCCCCAAAAACAGGTTTCCAGAGGAATCCGCGTTTTGTGTCCACCCGCTCTTTTTGGTGCCCTTTCCGAGCAAAATGTGCAGGGGACCTGCATCGGCCCTTTCCGGTCCGGCTCGCGCCTGGCTTGGCCCAGCGCTTGGCTTCCTGCAGGTTTGCGGGTGCCATGTGGTCTGGGAATGGGTCTGCGCCCAAATAGAACATAGACACTCCCTCCAAGCATGGATTGTAAACCAATATGGTTTGTGTCTGGTTTGCGGTTTGAGACGTAGTCAAAACCTATAAAAATGGTCTACCACGTCTACCATGTCAAAGACGGAAAAATGCGCGGCCGCGAGCGCGCTCCCAAAGCGGATTGCCGGACGCCGTTTCTCAAAGAACCACATGGCATGACGCTGGGTCGTTCCGGAACGGATGGTCTTGATGGGTCAGTCTCAAACATGGCAACCACGTTCTTTTGGACGGTGGTTTGGGAAGGGAAATCTGGCATAGTTCCCATGCTACCTGCGTCGATCCCTTTGTGGGTTGCTTCCAAGGGAAACCAAACGGAAACCGCCCCTTATGAAGAGACCCTATTTTGAGACACGCAAATGCTGACCCAGGCAATCACCTGTTTTTCTTCTATCCCATGAGGCATTTTGCTCACTGTTGAGCGACTCACTCAAAGGTTGCAACCCTGTTAATGTCTCCCGACTTGAGCCCTGATCTACACCCGGGTAGACGAAGGGTAGAAAAAACAATCCCAACCCTAGATAGGTGCGCCTTGTGAATGGCACGTATTTCGTCATCGAATTTCAACCCGGAAAAAGCGCCCTTCCTGTGCAAAAAGGGGCAAAGGGCCCTGCTTTGAACGAAGTCCGAAAAAAAGAGGCTGCTTTGAGCAACCTCTTTTCTCGGGACCTCAACCAACAAGGACCCACAGCTAAAGAAAGGCCACCCAACAGAACCCAAGAGCAGGTTCGTCTCTTTCACACCCAGGCCCAAACTGGTGCCACTTATATATGGGCTTCTCTCAAAATAGGCACTCGGAATGCGTGGCTTCCTTTGGCCCCCCTTTCAAACAACCCAAACACCCACGTCTTTGTTTTCAACTGAATGCTGGAAGAAGACCAAAAAGACGGGGCCCGCTTGGCGCCACCAAGTCCCCGTTGGCTAACCGCTAACCCGCCGCTTCCTTGAGACCCGCCTGGGTGTAGTCCTGCAGCATTTCGCTGGCTTGACCTCCGGAAGTCAGCCGGGTCCGAAGAGTGCATACCTATACAAAAGTGTCCATACGTAAATATGTATGCAAGGTGTTAAACAGGGAAAGTACCCAAGATCAGGGAATCATCTAAGCATATGTTGTAGTGTATTCATTGTGTGTATCTGAATTGTGTGCATCTAAAACTGCTGCGGTGCGTGAGCGTGTATTGTGTATCTATATGTATATATATATATATATATATGTATGTATATATATATATATATGTATATATATATATATATAGTTATATGTATGCTGTGTATATATATATATATGTATACATAAAAAATGTATGCATGTTGAGCGCCTCAGAATGGTGAACCCCCTGTTGGTTAGGGCTTGAAGGAAGACCACCATCGTTGCATGCTCAATTTGAAAGACATACATATAATTACCTCAGCACAGCCAATATTCATGATGCCCCATGGGAATTTGGTGAGTCCTCGTGTCCCAAGAGGGTTTGGTCCCCTTCCGGTCGTTCGAAAGCCTGGCTCGCGGCATCCCGGAATCTGAGTTGGGACTGACATGGTGGACGCACTCGCGGGATTTAGGTCAAACCGTTTTGCAGGGGTTTCATGAAAATCGGATGGGTATCTGTCTTTGATTTGGGCCTCTGTGGTACATTGCGTCACCTCCTCTAACAACAGCAACTTAGCGGTTGGGCTCTTGACAAAGCACCCATTTGGGCTTGATGGGAACCCAGGGGAATAAACCCCGGTACAGGCGTGCGCACGTTAGAAGGCATCTGTGTCACTTTCGGAGAAATTCATCGGAGAAAAAATCTGCAAAAGTACTCCATCTGGTTGAGCAGGTGCCTTGCATCCGGATTGCGGCTTGATTCTTCGGGATTCCCTTTCGCCTCCAAATCCGAAAGGCTGTTTGAAACCGGCCAAACGGCAGCGACGGCCCGAATTTTCGTGGGCTGTCCATCCCAACACCTGCCGGGGCATCCCGGAAAGGCCCATCCTCCCAAACTTCCACAAGGCACCCGCAACAGTGTCCGATGTTGGCGCTTGCCAACCCAAAAGCCACCACAAAACAATCGCCAACGACCTGGAAACTGAGCTTGAGGGAATAGAGACACTGAATTGGCCCAAACCCTGGATGTCTTGGATGATCTGCTTGTCAGTCCGCTCTGAAAACAAAAGAAGCCGAATCCCCGGCTCGAAAGCGGCGGAACTGAGCTCCCAGCTCTCACCCCACCTCAGATCGCCCAGGCAGACTTCCCAACAACCTCCGTTGAAGAACCTAAAATAAAGCCAGCAGTTGAGTGTTTAAAAGAAAAACAGGATTTGCTTTTTTTTTCTCAGAAAAGCCAAAAACCCCTTTGACAACACCCGTTGTTTTTGAAACAAGACTCAAAACCAGCCGTTGACCCAGCTGCTTTAACAAAAAACACACGGCTCCCCTCAAAAGTGGCCATAGTACCGTGTTTTGCCCGGTGCAACAAAACGGGACCCCCCCCTTCAGGAGTGAACTCCAGGCGCTCTTTGTTCTTTTCGCACGGGCTTGCTGGAACAGGCCCGTAGCGCCGACAGCTTGGCCAGCATCTCCTTGGTTGCCGCTTGCCGCGTGCTCGGCTTCATCCGGGTCACCTCCACATCTCTCCGCGCGGCGATGGCATCCACGAAGGGCACGCGGTGCCCATACACGGGAGCGGTCAGGGCGCCCACGATGGGGGTCTTACCCCGGAGCAACTTGGACACTGCCGCGCGAAAGGCCTCAGACATGAGCTCCATGCGCCCAATCTCGTCGATGATGTACACATCCACCTTCTCCTGCAGCGCAGGCAGCGCCACCTGCTCGAATCCCTCTACGTCCACGCTGAAGGCGCCCATGCGGCACCCGCCTGGCAGAAGCTCCGCCTTGCGGGCCAGGGGCCGTCTCCTGGGGCCGCCGCGCGCACCCAGCGCCACCACGTCGAATCCGCAGCGCCGGCCGCGCCGCCGGACCTCCTCGGTCAAGAAGCCCCGCACGCGGAGCCCGCGGCGGCGCAGGGACTGCGCCAAACGCCGCACCAACGTCGTTTTGCCGCAGCCCGGCTGGCCGGTGCAGAAGAAGTGCACCATGGCAGCGCCGAACACGCGTGGAGAGAACGCAAATCAAAGATCTGCATGCACCAGCAAAAGGCATGACCTGCCACAAGCGTTTCCTCTTGTTTTGCCCGATTATAAACAAGCTTCTCTCAAATTTGAGAGACCTCCAAAATGGGTTCCCGCTGAGTGCCTTTCCTTCTCCCTGTTTAGTCCTCCAAACAGGCGCCTTTCCCTGGCAGACATTCCAAATCGGCACCAATTAACTCTCGGACCCCTCCGCGGCTGGGCTCTCCTTCTCTCCCCGAGGCCAGAATGGAATTCGAGGGCCCCGCGTGAAGGTCTCTGATCTCACGTAGTTGTGACCCTTCACCTTGGGCACTCCCATGCGAGCTCCAATAGGGGTGACCCGCTTAATGGGACCAGTAAAATGGGCGGTGTCTCTCTCTTTTCTCAGGACATCGAAAAACAAAACGTGCCCATTGCGAGAAAACCCAAAATGGAATGAGACATCTCACCCAGCAAAATGGGAATGAATGGACCCTTCCAAAGCCTAAGGGAAGGCCAAGCACAAGGATTGAAAAATCCGAAGAGCTTCGGTCACAAGCAAAACCTGGCTCTGGTCATTCTTTCACCAAAAGGACCAAAGATACAGGAAACGGCACCAAGAGGAGCACGACCAAATGAACAAAAATGCGCAAGCAAAGTGCGAAGTGCGGAAACGGTCGAAAAATGGTGAGGCCTCAGGCATCAGAAACCAAGAAACCTCCGAGCCAAAAAACACTTTCCTAGAAGAGGTTCTTAGCAGTGTTCTGCGAAAAAGGGGGGGCGGTATTCGGTAGTTCTCCTTTCCTACTTGGGGAAAAGTGGTTTAACCCTGTTCGCAAATGTCGGACTAGTTAAAAGCTTGAAAACAAACACTGATCAAAGCATGAAAACTCGCCACCCAGTTCATGTACTCCGCAACATCCGTGCACACCAAATCACTGTGAAACATGCGTACGACTCTGTGCCACTCCGTGGGCTACCTTTTCGTTTAGAATGCCAAGGGGGGGACAGGAATGCGAATTTGCTTGCTCCCTTGACCGAGGTCCAACCCGCAAAAGGAGACAAAAACAGTAAAAGATGCCGCCCGCTGCCCGATCTTTCTCCATCAGCACTGTACCCCAGCTGTACCCCGTCCAAGCACCCAGGAAACGCTTGAAGCAACAAAGTGTTGCACCTACCCGCTCCAGCATTGCCGGATGCGATGCTAACAACCAGCCTGAACTCAATTGGCGAGTCTCTGAAAAGACCTGCCCCTTTCCGCCAATTAAGATCCAGGAGGTTGAGATCCAACGTAAAGTTGTCACTCCAAGCAACAACTGACAACAAGTCTAACCCAAACTCCGGTTGCGCAAAAAACGTTGCAAGATGTGTTTGGTTGAGGATGGTAGTTCTCTTTCTGGGCCCGCTCCAGTTTCATGTCCCGCAAGCAATGGCGGGGTGTTTTTTCCAGAGAGGATCCAAACTCCGAAACACTATCCAGGGAAAATTGTGTGTGTTTTCCCTGATATACTTTTGAGCAGTGGATATATCTGATGCCTCGATCAGTGCGCCTTCCAGAAGGGACCCAACACAGCTGTGCTGTAGTCACTGTCAAAGCAACAAAGCAAGAGCCTCGAAAAGCAACCATCGCTATCCACCCTCATCAGCTGACCTTCAATCTGTCGTTTGGACGTGTCAGGAGCATATATATATATATATACATATGTATATGTATATACATGTATGTATGTATGTATGTAGTATGTTTTGTTTGTATATACATATATATATATATACCCGAGGCTTCCAGTTTTGCTGGTTTGGAGGTTTGGGGGCTACCTGCCCGTCCAGTTTCAACAACCAGAAGAGATTCAAATCCTCAAACCACTCATCCAAACCGCAAATTCAGGATTTCCCGACATCAAGGACACGTGGCATGACCTTGGCCAACTCAGAAGCACCCACTATTGTGTGGATGGAAATACGTGCATATGTATATATGCCCTGTACATGTATATATATATATATATGCATACCTACATACGTATATATATATATATACACCTATATATAGACACATACAGTGTAAATGTGTTCTGCCTTTACTCTCAGTCCGCCAGAAAAGTGTAAACAGAAAGTGAATCATATATCCCAGCTCACGCTTCACTCGTCCTTGCATCCTTCCTCGCATTGGTAGTGCTGCACCCAAGACTCCTGGTCGGGTAAAAACCCTGGATAAACCAAACCAACTCCCAAAAAGGGAATCCAGCACGTAAACCCGAAAGACTACTCAGAGCCCTGGAGCTAGATGGCCGAACACAGACATGGAATTTCTCGAGGTTGAGACGACTCGTTCACTGGGCAACTGGCAGGTTCCGCGATCACTCTGGTGTGTATTGAGGAGCCGTTTTTGCTGGTTGACAGGGAAGAAGGAAACCGAAAAATGTCATTTTCAGGGGTCACCATTTCGAAATGTGGCTTTTTCTTCTGCTTTCCTTCCGGGCCTTTCGGCTTCCCTCTGCTTTGGGCAGGCGTCCGGCGAAAAACTTCCTGTCCCGCAACTTGCGGTCACACATTGACCCCAACGAGCCGGATCTGCCATCGAAAGGGAAACCGGATTCAACCAAAGATCCTGGAGTCCAACCCACGCCCATAGCACCTTCTGGATGTCCAAGTTGGTCACCGCCTCCATCCTGCAAAAGGCAGTCTGCTTGGTTTACTCTACCTCTGAGCGCCCACCCACCCCAGTGGGCTTTTCGGTTTTGGGTTCTTTGGTTGGAAGCAAAAAGGGCGTTGAGGGCCTCTGGGCTTTCCTGGCAGTCCCTCCACCATCACAAGTCGACAAATACATTGCGCAGTGGCCAACCGGACCCGGCCGCCGAAAAATCTGTTCGAATGGCAAATGACATGGCCAAGAGTGGTACAGGGGCATCTGCTTGTTTGAGGGTACCCCAAAACTGGTCTTGTTGCAAGGGAACACAAAGGGAAAGCGAGCGTGTGGAGATGGTTCCCAGGGAGTGCTCCTAGCATTGCTGGCACCAGGGCCTGCAAAGAGGCTCCGCATTTTGGCCACCGGCCATATTGACTGCAATAAGCCACCCAGCGAAAAGAAGAGATCCAAGGAACTTTTGTTTGTGAGGTTGCCATTTCCCCAGCCGCCCATGGTGTTTGAAACCTTGGCACGTTTCTTTCCCACATGGTAACTGTAGCTTCTCTTGCGAAATTGTCCCATGAACCCTAGGTTTGCCATGAACTTGAAAGCTCCTCCCCCACGAAACACCCACACACACAGACACCAAGACATAGACCTCATCTTTTCGAAGGTAGAAAAACAATACGAAACCAACAACTTGTTGAATTAGGATGCTTCCATCATCAGGACCATTACAGGTGGCGCCGAAAGATCCAAAGACAGGGCCAAAACCGATTGTCTCCAAATGGATTCGGAATCCCAACACTGGGGCCCGGTTTTCCTTCTGATTGTTCATTTCCGCCCAAAAGGGCAATAACTCGTAGAGATAAACCGATTTTCCGAACAGGGATAAGGAACCAAAGGAAGGACATCTTCAGTTGCAAACCAAGTCTCGCTAAGTTGCGATTTCTCTGGAAGGAACCCCCGGTTTCTTAGCAAGACCTTACCGTGCCAACATGGAAATTCCCATGACTTCATGGGTCCACTTCGTGGCCAAGGCTTCTTTTTGGAGGCTTGCACCTGCCTGAAACCAGTCCCAGATAGACATGCCAATTTCAACACAACATTGCAAGAGCTTCTTTCGGACGGGAAGCGTCAAGCAACAGCGGGGAATGCGTGGCGGCACCTTGCTCGATGGCTTCTTTTCGGCCCCAAAGGGGTGTGAGAGTCTGCGTTTGGTTTCCAACGCCGAAGTGGTGGGTCCCCTTTTTGTTCCAGGCTATTGTCCAAATCCTCCAAATCCTCTCTCGGTTGTCAAATTCTGGAGGGCCCAAACATTGGCGCACCTCGTAGTTGAACGCCGAAGTGGTGGGTCTCCCTTTTTCTCCAGGCTATTGTCCAAATCCTCTCTCGGTTGTGAAAATATGGAGGGCCCAAACCTTAGTGCACCTCGTAGTTGCCCTTCGTGCGAACCTCAAAAAGGGCAAGCCGCGAGCCTCCACCCTGGCAAGCGGCTTACTTGCGAGTGGCAGGCGCGCCTGGGAGCCCTAGCCTTCTCTTCCGCGTACTCGTAGGATTGGACTAGGACCTGAGGCAGCCACTCAAATCCCACCCAGCCCAAAAGCAGAAAGTCATTGCAACTGGACTCCCCGAAACCTGATCTCTCTGAAAGGAAAGCCTGGTGATTTGTTTTGGGGGGGTCTACCCGAAACGGTGAAGAATCAGGCGGAACGCTTTCCGCAACGGCAGATGAAGGAGTCCGTTTAGTTTCCCGCGGCAACCCAAAAACAGAGTACCCTGGCCCTGAAAGAAAGAAACACCAATGTGTCTTTTGTTGCAGTTGGAAAACCTTTCCAGGGAACAAATGGAATCGAGCCCCGTGTTGGTAGCCCCATTTGGAGTCAAACCCAAATGGTATGGAAAGAGTCAACGTAAAATACATCATCATACTAGAGTATACACTTGAAGGGCCATGAAATGGCCTTGAAAAGGGGGACAGAAAGAACACCAAATAAAACAACAAGCATGGAATTAAGCCGCCCCCGGATGGCAACGACTTCCTTTTGTTTGGCCTTACCGCCCAAAATTTCATGATCCGAGCACTCTGGAAAGAATGGCGAAATTGCAAGGGCCTCCAATGAAACATGGGCGGAAAAATATGCTCCCCCTAGATTGATGGCTTGAACCAGCTCGATGGTGTTCCCTCCCCGACATTTCCTGCCAGCTTCATGCGATCACGTTGGATACTGTGGAAATTGAGGCCAGGCGGACGCTGAGTGCAGGGAGCAAACAGGCACACCCCATAGTGTCTTCAAACGTGGGTGGTGTCCCTTTCAAAGGAACCCTCCGTCAGGTTCCTTGCGCGTGAACCCAAACCAAAAACTGCTCAAGGAACTCCAAGTCTGCGCTCTTTTGCAGGAAGCCCCGGCTGGGTCGGTGTTTTCAGGGTATTTTTTTGTGTGGCGGCTGGTTCCAAGGGGAACCAACCGGAAACTGCCCGTTTTCAGGGGTCCCCTTTTGACCCTCCACCGCTTGGAAGACGTCCGGATCCAATCCACCGGGCCGCGATGAGCGCCACAAAGGCCTGGCGAAAGCCGCTGGCTCCGTTTCACCCCTGTGTATGTATATGTATGTATATGTTGTATTTTCGCCTCTGCGAAACGCGTACTTCTTCAAGTTCAAGCAGGCAAGTTCAATTAGTTAGTCAAACAAACAGTCAGCAAGTCAGCTAATTAGTCAGTTAAATAGGTGTAATGAATTAGCTCTAAAGCCAGTTAGCTAGTTAATTGGCTAATCAATTAGTTATCTATTTAGCTGCCTGAAGGTGTTCCTTTACTGGTGAAATATTTCGGGTTTTCCCTAGCTGGGGGAATACTTGGACAACTGACTTCTCTCAGGCTTCCTGACTAGGGCAATACTGGGGCGCTACTACCAAGGCAATATTAAAGGTGAATACTGGAATAACCCGCCGACAACAAGGCGGTGTTGGCACATAAGAAATGCTCCTTACCTCTTTGCCTGTTACCCCTCCCCTTACCCCTCCCCAGGGGCACGGTTTCAGACTATTGCGGGGCCACGTAACACGCGGTGATTCCAAGACGTTCCTCTAAATCCTTTCTTCTGCGGGCACAGTTGCGTAAAAACATTGGGGTGTTCGATTCCCCCCAGGTCCGTTTTTGCATCCTTAGCAACGTAAAGTTGGCACTCCAAGCAACAACTGACAACAAGTCTAACCCAAACTCTGGTTGTGCAAAAACGTTGTCTGCTCGGCACATGATTGGCCGAGGCACGCGCGCTCGCATCGCGAATTCAGATGCCCCGTGGAACGCCTTGAGTGACATTCTCGCCATTAAAGACGCAGATCCGGAGAGGATATGGGCTGGGTTTTTTCTAGGGGTGCACCCAAAATTTTGGCTTTTATTGTGGTTCTCCTTGTGGTTTCCCTTTAAACCCGCAAAACAAGGGGTACCCTCAAAAACAAAACAGCCATGTGTCACGCATTCATCACGGCTGGGAGTTTCAGGCGCAAATACACCATGCACACGCACCTTGCGGGATTGAAACTCCCGCCGCATCCTCTGCAATCTGCATCTGGGGCCCCAAACTTGCTGGTTCCCCACCAGCCATTCCTTGCAAGGTTCAGAGCATTCCCATTCTTATATCTCCTGCTGAGCATAAGCAAAGCAAATGACGAACAGCCACACCCTAAACCGCATGCACGGCGTCTTCCGGGCAAAGACGCAAAGGCGCGCGACGGAGTTGCCTTTGTCGCCCTCGGCTCCCTCGAGTTCCGGTCCAAACACTGCCCAAGTGTAGCGCTGAACCGGAATGTGAGTTTCAGAAGCTCATTACAGCAGCTCCAATTTCCGGGAGCGCCCTGCGCCCTTTCCGATCTCACATAGAAAGCTGCGTGAGCCTCTTGCAAGGCCTTCCAACCGGAGCTCGTCCCGAGCTGCATCATCCGCATCAGCGCCTGCCAAGGATGCGGATGATGCAAGTAATGCTGGAGATGTTGGCTGTGCTGAAGGCCTCAGGGGGGAAAGGGGGGAAAGGATCTCAACCGGGAAACATCTTAGGGAGGAAAAGGGAGAAGATCTTGGGGGAAAAAGGCCTTAGGGGGAAAGGGGGGGAAAGGATCTTAACAGGGAAAGGGGGGAAAAGATCTTAGGAAGGAAAAGGGAGAAGATCTTGGAGGAAACAAGGCCTTGGAAAATGGGGGAAAGGATCTCAACAGGGAAAGGGGGGAAAACACTTAGGGAGGAAAAGGGAGAAGATCTCAGGGGGGGAAAAGGCCTTCGGGGGGAAAGGGGGAAAGGATCTCAACAGGGAAAGGGGGGCAAAGATCTTAGAGGGGAAGGGGGGCAAGGGGACAATTCCAAAGGGACGCAAATAAGAAAGCAGGCCTGTAATGTCGGCGGCCTGAGCCGGAGGCGTGAAAATTCTAGGAGAATATTAAGAGAATACTTGGGGTATACCAAGAGAGGAATACCAGGGCAATACTAAAGGTATTCCCCTAGTAATTCAATCACTTTACTAGGGGAAATAGCAAGGTAACACTATAGGGTAGTGAGGAAATACCAGGGGTATATCAAGAGACTACTAAACTAACTGAATACTAGGGCAATAATAGGGGAATACTAGGGCAATCATAGGGCAATACTAAGGAAATACTCAGGGAATACTAGGGCAATATTAAAGGTGAACACTAGGAGAATACTAGGGGGATTCTGAGGTACTCGGGGCATACCTAGAGAATTCTAAAGGAATACTAGGGCAAATACTGGGGAAATACGCAAGGAAGACTAATACTCAGAAAATACTAGGGCAGTAACAAAGGTGAATGCTAGGGCAAAACTGAAGAAAAAAAAACTGAAAAACAAAAATGAAAAAAAAATGTGGAGAAAAACACTGAAACAAACTGGGAAAACAACTGAAGAAGAAAAAAATGAAAAAGAAAAAGAAAAAAGGAAAAGAAAAAAAAAGGTTTAAAACAAAATGAGAGAAGAAAATAATAGAGAGAAAAACAGGAAAAAACTGAAAAACTGAAAACACTCGGATTCGGGGGGACATGCCTGGGGGGGGCCATTTCCCCCTGAATCCTTGGTTTTTTAGTTGTTGTTGTTTTTTTCAGTTTTTTTCAGTTGTTTCCAGTTTGTTTGTTTTTTGTTTTTTTCTTTTCGGTTTCTTCAGTTTCCAGAGCGCTTCCTTGAAGAGATGCCCTTACGCAATCATAGTGCTTGGTTCCAGCATGCATCGGCTGCCAAATGAGAGGCTTTTGACAGATGCAGACAGTGGACCTGAAAAGTGTGTGTTCTGGCAGATGCAGGTTTTGGTGACAAAGCTCTGTAAATACCAGTGTTTTCGTTCAAAACCTGGTGTATTTGTGTGTGTGTGTGTGTGTGTTTTTTTGGGGGGGGTACCATATATATATATATATATGTATTGCTTGGTTTTAATGTTGTATATGAAATATTCTCACTTTGTTTATAAAGATCGTGCGAGTCCAGGCATGTGCGGTCGGGCACCTGCCATCCGTCACTTACGCTCAAAACCAGGAAATCACTTGTGGATAGATCAAAAAGTAAGCACACGAACCTGTGATCTTGACGGCCCCATGTCTCATCTGAGCCTACAATGGGGACTGGACCCCAAGTCCTTTTGGTTTCCTTTCAAGCCAATTGCAGCCATGGCTAAAGCCCAACCTCCTGGCATCAAGGAATGAATCGCGCACGAGCAACGCCGAGCTCAGCATATATCGAGCCACTTGTGGGGTCCGAATATTTTTGGAAGTGTCGATATGAACTAAAACCCACGAATAGTCTTCCGGCCAACAATGAAACTAACGAAAACTTCGGTTTTTGCCCCCCTCATTGGCCACAGCTTGGGCTCCGGAACGCCCATCCAGGTTGCTAGATCTGCGTGCCAGCAAAAGTATCCACCAAGAAACAAACAGGCAAGCGGAGTTTGGAAACCTGTCGGTGTCGAGTTGAAAGCCTCGCAAAATCAATTGCAACCATTTTGGGGTTGAATCTTCGGGAGCCCAATGTTGCAGGGCAAAGATCCAAGATGCTAAGCGTCGACCAGGGCAAAAAGGGATCCCGGATCATAGAACCGATTAACAAGGTTGCTTTTCCCGAGATCCCTCCCAAAAAAAACAAAAACGATAATGGTGCTCCCCAAAACAGCCGGAACGCTACACCCCCCCAAATATATATATATATATATATATACATATATAATCTACATATTTATATATAATGCATGATTGCAGGTCCCCCCAATTTACCCAAAAACGAGTTTCAGCTTGAGGGCTTGCCTCAAGAAACCCGCCGACCCGGGCGAGGTCCGCCCAGGCGAGGCCGAAGCCGCTCGCCGCCTCGCCTGGCCGGGGCTGCACTCCGCGAGGCCCAGCAGCCAGCAGGCCACGCAGCACAGGCCGCTGCTCGCCAGGCTGCACACCGCCTGAAAGTTGCGAGTGGCTTAGTTCATTTTTATGTCATGTTTCTTGTTTGTTTGTGTTTTGTTGTTGTTGCTTTTTTATTTATCTTTCTATTTTCATGATTTTATTTATTTATTTGTTTATTTATGTTTTTTTTTTGGGGGGGGGGGCGAAAAAGTGGGGGGGGGGGCATTTTTAGGGCTTAAAGGGAACCATGTTGTTTTTTTGGGGGTGGAAAGTGTTTAGGGGAAATGAAAGAGAATCCCAAGGGTTTTGAGATGCGGGTAGCCCGCGGCTGGTTGGTTGCAAAAAGTTGTTCTGGAAGCCAAATGGGCCCGTGGCCTTGCTGTTCTTTGCCTCAAAGGGGAACTACGGCCTGTAGCTCAGGGGCTGGTTAGCTCGAGGGAACCCAAGCGACCCATAGGGGTTAAATGGGATTCCCCCCAAAGAAAAAAGAATGGCTCCATTTTGATTGGCCTTTTGGAACAAAAAGGAGTTACCGAAACAAGATCGGGGGGTTGCCCATTTGGGGGGGCGGGGGGGGAAGGGACCGTGCTTCAACGGAACCATGTTTTCTTTGAGGAGGTTTATTTGACATCAAAGGCACCCATAAGGCTCTCCCGATTTGAAGACAAACCTTGGATTCGAGTGTTTCTCAAAATGGTGAACCCTCCTTTTGAATGGGTAGAGGAAACCAAAGGAAACCAACGTGAAAGTTGTCGCTAATATTTGAGACACCCATCTGCATTTGTTACCCGGTTTTGTTGGTTCATTTCAACGGCAAACCTCTCCCAAAAGAAGGACAAACAACACCATTACTGGGCCACCAGATCAATAGCCTCGTACTTTTTGGGCTCTGGGGATTGGGTTGTTTCGTCCCTTGACCCCCTCGGACATAGAGAAGTTGCAACAACCCAAGTGCCCACCCGCTGTCCAACAGTCGTGAAAGCAGATAGGAGGCCTTTGTGCAGAGAATGGTAGTCGGCCAAAACCATCCTGTACGCATCCATGGTTGGCAAGAAGGTGGACCTCAAAGGAGGGGGGGCCTTTGGCGAGATGTCTTCCCACTCAAACTGCCCGCGCTCTTTTTGGAGTTGTGGTTTCAACAGGTGGTGTCAGATGGGCGTTGAACTGCTGTATATCTTGAATTGTATAGTGTTGCATGAAAATACTTACGTTGGGTGTGTCCTTCTTTAGGGACCCCCCACCCAAAAAATAAACGTTCTCTTTTTGGTGTTCCTTTAAACCAACCCCAAAAAGGGTATCCTGAAAGAAAGACACACCCACATCTATGAGCATGCGGCACTCGAAGCTCGCACCTTGCAAACGGCAGAGAGATGCTTCAGCAGGAAGCCGCTCGCATAGCCGTTGAGCACCAGCGCCAGCATCGCCAAAACCGTCCTGGACACGGAAAAAAGGGTGTGGCTCTCTTTTGTTGTTGAGACTCGAAAAACCCCTTTGGGGAAAAACCGCAAGGGCTCTGATTTCTGTTTGGGCTTTGATGTCCTTCTCACGGCTCCGTTTTGCTGGGGAATCCAAAGGGAAACCGAAGCCCGTTTGCGGGTCTCTCACATAGAGACAAACCCGTATGCCTCGCGCAAAACGGGCCCTCCTTGGGACGATGTCTGAAGAGCACCAAAGAGGAACTGACGCTCGGCAGGAGTCTCTGTCCAATACCACAGCAAAGTAAGAAAACGGCAAAGATGAAGTGGCACACTAAAAAATACGCAGGGGTCAGTTTTTGTTTGGGATTGATTCGTACTTCCCTCAATAAGCCAAAAAGCGTGCTATGGCACGATCCCCATGCTTCACCAGGCAGTCGCTATGATCAGCAAGCCCACCATGGTTGCTGAGGATAAGTGAGTGTGGTGTCGCTTTTGGTGGGACCAAAGGTTTGCGGGATCATTATCCTCTAAAAACACAAAATGCCTTGGGAAGCCAGCCCTAAAGAGGCCAAGCTCGGTTGGTATTCCTTGCCGCCATGTGTGATACTTGTCGGTGGGCAACCGAGCCATCTTGTCTTGTCAAACTTGTTTGCTGGACCTGGTTCAAAGGAAACCACATCGGAAGGACATGAGCAGCAAGCCAAGCTTTTGGAGAGCCAAGCCCTCGATTTGGAAGGGCTATATTTGGGCCCCGAATCACCTAACTTCTGCTCAAGGCTCATCCAATCCCAGCCAGAGGAACTGGTGCAAACACCTCGGGTGTTTCGCATGGCAGGCATCACGGCGTCTATTGCCCTTCCAGCATCCCGGGTGTGCAAAATCAAAACTGCGCCTTTCCCACTTCCCTCACCCCTTTCAGTCGATGATCAGGAAATTGGGAGGTACCGTGCAGATGTGCTTCCATGTTGGCTTTCCTATAGGCAGGGAGGAATACATGTAAAACCTAGTGAAAGCATCCGGTTGCCCCGATTTCAGAGAATATGGCGCAGATGTTTGGAGCCATGCAGTAAGAAAGTAGAGCAACTAATAACCCGACGCTAACTTTCTGCTTGAGGCGGCCTGAACATCCTCATAGAGCAAAGCAGTACTACCCAATCCGGATGGCCAAGCACCTAAACTGTCAAACTAACTGCAGTCCTCCAATGGTTGGCATCATGCTGGTTCCCCTGTTTGACACCAGCAGATTGGCTACGTTCATTTTTCCCCCGGCGAACCCGAACCGGCCTGTTTGTCAGTGGCCCTGGAAGAAATGAAACTAAGCTACCTGGTTCAGGAGTTTAGGGCTCACCAGGCGTCCCCTTTTGCTCTTCGGCCAGAGAGCATCTTTCGTCCAGGCAGGTCATGTCAGAGCATCGCCTTACCGGAGTCGGCGAGAGAAGGCGAGAAGCGCGGAGCAACAAATGTGGCCCGCCCCTGTCTCCCGTTACCAACCAAATTCCGACCAACTTGTGGCCAGGTTTTTGGAGAAACCTTCGGCTGGTCCGCTTGATTTCTCGGGGGCCCTTACGAGCTTGCACCACAGTCTGTAAGTGCCCAGCTTGGGATAGGAAAAGAGACAAGGTTCCATTGTAGCGGATCTAGGATTGGCCAACCTTCCAGTTGACGTGCCCAGTTGCTGTGTGTTTTGCAGGGGGTTCGGCTATATGTTCCCTTAAAGGGTTGGTGAGATTATGTTTAAGAGGAAAATGAGGGGAAACTTGTTTTGTGTTTCCGGCGTCCAACTAGATGGGTGTCGCTCAGACGCACCGTAAGGAAGCCTTTCACCAATTCTCTATCCTTTCGATTCATCTTTGAGAGCATTTCTGTGATACCAAAGTATGCCATCCCCATAACTGCCTCTAGATTCCCATGCCGAAGTCCCCAGTTTTGTTTCCATTCCATTCCATTTGCTCAGCAGCTGGAGCACCGCAGGACCCGAGCCGAGGGGCGGCAGAGGCCCGCCGAAGTACCCACTGGACCACACCTCGCCAGCGCTGCCGCTCGCAGCGATCACCGCCAGGCCTCGCGTCCGACGGAGCGGCGGTAGGAGCGGGGAAAACCGGACCGAAGCGTCGGCGTTTGTTTTTCATTTTGTTTAAAAAGGTTTATAGTTGCTTTTTTGTTGGGGAGGGGGGAGAGGCCTGCTATACTGCAGACAATGATTTGTTAGTGTTGTTTCCCTGTTTCCCTTTTTTTTTGGGTGGAGCCTGCTTTATTGCAGACAAGGAAAAGGCAAAGAAAGGAGTTCTTGAAGCAAGGATAAGGAAAACAAACAGGAAGGATCCCTCCAAAACTTGCGGCACACAGAGAACAGCGCAGAGGGAACAAAAATGCAGCGAGCTTTTTCGAGGAAAAGTGACCTTCTGAAAGGGGGGCTGCGGGGAGAACATAAGGACAGCCGAGTCGAGTTGCTGTATGAACCTGCGCTAAGATCTAGACTCAAGCTGTGGTCTATCTCATAAAGCTTCTCCGGTTTTCTAGGGGAAACAACCCCCAGAAATCTGTGGCATCTTGGCAGTCCTCGAATCGAGAACCCGGTCCGGCGAAATGAGCACCCAAAAGCCCATTTTTCTGTTGGTTCCAAATGGTTACGAAGGCTTGTGTGTGAATCTTCATGAAATCAGGTACCATTGGAATGGCCCTCTGGTGATATGGGCGCGCAAATGGTGAAAGGCCAAAGGAGATGTGGATGTGAGTGCATCCCCCTCCCATAGATGTACCTCCACGACACGGCTGCGGTGCAAAAAAAAAAACGTCGCCCGAAAGAAATCACCTGGCCTGGGCGTACCTCAAGCGAAAGCTGTCTCAACCAAACTGACCTGCTGAGCAAACTGGCGGAAGAGACTCAAACTTTCGGCGCCTGGCTGCAACGAACAAGACACCCACCAACAAAAGTTGAAACTCCGTCAACTGAGAAGGTAAGCAACGAAAAGAAAGGGGCCCTGTCTTTGTTGACCCCCAACCTGCTTCTTGAGCCCGTAAACCAAAGTTAAAATGGATGTCAAAAGAAGAGAAGGGCTGCAAAAGGCATGCGCTTGGCGAGCAGCTGGTGAGCAGCATCCCCAGCTGCACTCGGAAGGAGACCTGAGCGGAAGTTTGGTGCGCTCCCAAAATGGGGAACAAGCGCCTGTGTTTGCAACGGTAGAAAGGTGAAACCGAAAAGCATCCCATTCTTCCAAGCCAAAGGGGAAGCTCGCGGGGTTCTCTTTCAACGTTATATGGAGGAAGCGAAACACAAAGGTGATACTTGAAATAACCGCAAGCAGAAAGCTGATGCCTTGATTTGGCTATACCCAACCGGCGATGTTTCAAAGACCAGCCGGGTGGTTGGTGTTCTTTCGGTTGTACCAACCATTCAAGAAGGGGGTTCGATCCATTTTAAGACTGTCCCAGAGTGCTGGAACAATGTCTGACCTCTGGGCTCCTTGATGTCCAACCTGCAAAGCTCATCCCACAGGGAACCTCAATCAATGGACCATCAAAAGCTGTGTAAGCTCCGAAATGGAGACTTTCAGCGGCCAAAATGGAAACCGGTCCACGCCATGGACCTGGGAAAAGAAATGATTTCGTGGCCCACGTTGAGGTGTTAGTTGCGTGAATTTGTCTCAAGCCCCGACTCCTTTTCCCCGGTGCGAATGAGGCATATTGCTCCGCGCTGTTGCCCGGCCGCTACCCGCCGTGTTACACAATTACCACGGGGTAAGAGGGCGCCACCTTTGCTTCTTCTTCTGCTTCTTCTTCTTCTTCCGAATCTTACCGAATATTACCGAGTTGTTTTATCCGGATCTGACCGAGTTAAAACGAAAACCGAATCTTGTCGGGTCGACGCTTATCTAAATTTATCGAAACTTGCTGGGGCCGAATTGCACCTAACTGTTCCGAAACTAACCGAGCCGGATTGTACATTTTTTACCCAATTTTGCCAGGCCGAATGTCACCCAAGCTTTATCAAATGTTCCCGGATTTGACGAGATTTCACCGAGTTTTAACAAATTTACCAAGCCGAATCTTCCCCAAGTTCACCGAATGTTATTTGATTTATTGTTTTGAGCTTCAGGAGGCTTCGCTGCCCCTGTGGCCGTAACGTTATGGCACCACTAGTCAGCACTGGTGAGGCATCAGCCAGAGAGTGCACCCAATCTGAACTACCGGCCTCTGACTCAAGCAATGTTACCCTGTGAATGGCGTGACAAAACAGCCCCAAAACAGGGAAACAACTATAGATAGTGCGTTTGGCTCCAAATTGGGTAACCTGGACATGGGCTTCGGTTTCCCTTGGTTTCCCTCTCGTTTTCCTGCAGATCCCCGATGTCCAGACTGATCGACCAAGTGGATCAATAGGATGGTGTTGCCCACGGGGACTGTCCCCATGAATCAACCAGCTTCATCCACATTACCCCATGGAGTCTCCTGGGTCAACATTACCCCATGGAGTCTCCCCCCCCCTTCCCTTCTGAGATTTTTCTCCGACCCACCCAGCGTGTCCGGGCACTTGCTGCCAGGGCGCCAGCCAGAACCCTGCGTCCTGGCTCTTGAAGACACGCTCCGAGGCCACCGCGCCTGCGAGAGGCAGAACAAAAACGAACAAGGGGCGTTATCAAGTTCCCTCCATCAAACATAGGAACCCGCACGGGGCTTTTTCATGTCCCTGAAGAGCCTCCCAAGGGAGGGCCTCCCCAGATTTGAGGAAACATGCCCGAATCCATATTGAGCCTTATTAAGCCTTATTAAGCCTTACTCAGCGGTATTGAACGATATTAAGCGCTATTAAGCCTTGTTAAGCAGTTAATCCTTATTAAGCTCCTTCTCAATGAAGAAACTTTTGAAGCTGCTTGACAGATTGACAGATTGACCGCTAGCTGCTTTCTTGTTGAAAAGTAAGAGGGGTGGTAAGGGGAGGGGCGGTGTCCCTGTGCAGCTTTTCGGGGGGGGGGGGGGGGCCTCCCCACCACATTAAGCCTTATTAAGCCTTAATAAGCCTTAATAAGCCTTAATAAGCCTTAATAAGCCTTATTAAGGCTCATTAAGGCTTAATAAGCTTTAATAGGCCCCGCTAGCAAACAATTGCACTTTCCTACATTTTGGAACCCCTCCGGACTGGGCTGCTCTCAACATCTCCCTGGTGATCTAAACCATCTCACTTGGGAATCACAGCAGGTGTTGCTTTCTCGCTCCTGCTTGACAGGTCGCACCTTTGCCGCAGTTGCCTTTGCACTTGGCGCAGTTGAGCAATTGCAGCTTGATTGATTTGAGCAGAGTATCCCCACAAACGATCACACATCATGAAGAACACAGAAAACCTGAAGCAACATCAAACATGCAAGACCAAATCTGGGGAGGCCCTCCCTCGGGAGGCTCTTCCAGGACACATGTGTTTTTCTTTTTTCTTTTTCTTTTTTTCTGAAAGGAAACTGGTCTTCCAGGAACCCCTGTGCAGCTCCATGTTTTTTTGAGGGTAACCTTTTGGATTTGGCTTTGAACCGCAGAGGATCTTCAATTATTGGTGGCTTAGTGGTTTGGAACTTGGACTTGGTGTAGACGGGAACACCCCTGAACACCTCAAACCACCAATCCAAACCTCCATCTGGAGTGAAGCTGAAAGGCGATACGCTGGCGGCCACATGAAACAAACGCATCCGAGTTGTCTTGGTTGCCTTGGTTCGACCGCACTGCTTGTTGCTTTGGGACCTTTTCCTGGTTGAATCTCTTTTAGGAAAGCCCTATATGTCCTTACTGGTTTGACTGGGGTATCTTGGCTGACAGTTTGATCCCACTTTCTTGGCTTGGTTGCTTGGGGGCCTCTATGGAAAATCCTCGCGACTCGCTTCGACGGTTTTGCTTTACTCCTCGGGAATACGTTTCGAGGCTTCAGACTCTTGGATTTATCTCTCTTCTATGGGCTAGGCTTAGACCCCCTGCAGAAAGTGAACGGAATGTTTGCTTGAAGGAAAATACCGAAAACCAACAGGTTGAAAAGGGCAAATTGGCAAGGTGAGCTAAGTCTGGAATCCATGTCCTTAGCTGTGTCTCTGCAGATTTGTGCCGGGTTTCAAAGGCACTGGAACAAGGCACTGGAACATGAGAGCGCTTGCCCAAAAGGACCTGTGGTTCCAGGGTTAAGGGTTTAAAGCTTTTAAAATACCTGCAGTTGACTTGTGAAGGGGACCTGGAAGATCCCGTTTCCCTCTACCATTTGCGAAGATACAAAGGCATTCGGACACGAAGGACCGGACACCCGGGCTTTGTTCTTCGACTCCGCATAGCCAAGTGCAACAGGTGCACCACCAGAGAGGTACTCTGGGGACAAGGGACACTTTTGGTTCACCCCACAAAAGGTGCTGAGTTGAGCATCACCCTTCCAAATGTCCATATTCAGAACTCAAAGACCATGCGTCTGAAACTTCTGTCTCCCTTTCCAGAGGTTTAGGCCTTGGGTAATGAAAAAGGACCCTACCCCCCCTTTTCGGTGAGAGAAACTAAAAGGAAACCAATGGGTGGACAGCTTGCACAAGGCGGAAACTCCGCAAAGTTCGCCTGCGGTGGACAGCACCGCTTTGAGGAAGGCCAGCATCGCCCCCAGCATCTCCTCACCTGACTGGACGGGTGACCCCGGAGGCGGAAAACAAAAAGACATATCAAGTCCCAAACTGGACCCACAATGGGGGTCTTACCGAAAACTACCCAAAACTCTTCCCAAACACTGCAAAGTTCCGGTTTCACCCCAAAAAAACAAGAGGAACTCTTTCGGCCCCCTTCTCCAAGCCCCCCTCCTTCCAACCCCCCACCCCGGATCCGGATGTCGCCGCCAGGGCGCTGCGCTCGCCCAGCGACGCGGCGGCGGAGATCTCCGCCGAGGCGCAGGCGGCCAGGGAGATGGTGATGAGCCGCAGCCAGTTCCTCCGCTTTGCGCGGAGTTGTTTCTTTTATATATTGTTTAAGAGAAACCGAGGGTAGTTATGTTGGTTTTCCAGTGGTTTGGTCGTGGTGGTAACAGCACACCAGTTGAAAGCCATCGATACGGTTTTCCGTTTGATTTTTGTTGTGTACCTATGGTTTGGTGGTACCACCCCCCACCCCCCCGACATGCCTGCAAAGTAGCCATGGAGTTTCATTGCTGGGTGCCATTCATCAGCTGAATTTCTTGCTCGGCGGCCGTCGCATCGGATCGGTCCCCCCCCTCCTCGCGTCTCAGAAAGAAAACCTTGGAGGGCTTCTTTTTGGTTATGACGCTCCTGTGGTTTTGTGGCACATACCCATTTGGATCTTGGGTTAAAAAAAAAAAAAACGGGAAGCCCAGAGTGGAAAGGACTCAAACCCGATCGGATCTCCTGGTGGCTTAATTTTGATCCATACCCATTTGGATCTAACGTTGGGCTGTTCTCTTTCTGTATGTCCTTTCTAGGTTCTGCGTGTTCTTTTGCTTGGATCTTCGACTCAAATAAGTAAGCCTTGGTTGAGTGTTTTGTGTATTTTCTCGCTAGCCTATGAGTTGAAAATTTGGCACCTCCAAACCCGAGGATTTGTTATGTTGTTGCTATTTTTTGCCGGGAGGAAGAAGAACACGAAAAGGGCGTATGCCCTCCACCCATCCACCCAAATTGGAGACAACCCGAAATGTTGACCTGCCCGCAAACAAACATGGAAGCGCACGTGCCCCTTGTAGAATTTCACTTTCCTCTTGGAACAAATTGGTGGGAGTGTATAGCGTAGTGTAGTTGACAATGAGAAAAATATGGAATGAGAAGAGGTATCACAGAAAGTGGCCCAGTTCCTCGCCCAGTCCCTCGGCAAAAAAGACGAAAACATGTGGTACCTTCCAAACAGGACCCATTTCTTGGTTGGTACCATCAAACATGGTTGCGGACAAGCTTGCCTCTTTATCATGCGGAAAGTGGACTTCCCAAATTGTTCCACCATGCTGCTCCTGGCTTCAACCAGCAGAAACAGATCAGTTGAGCACCTCGCCACAGGCAAAAAAGTTGACCAGAAAAAGGTCTGCAGGTGGGTCGAAACTCGGGATCCCCCTTCACTGGTTTTGACACAGACTCAGGCTGGTCCTGTTTTAGCTGGTACTCTCACCTAAACGCAAGCAACGGAACCTGAAACAGTCTCCCTGATGGTTCGGAATGTCCATATCCAATTTTGCGACATCCCAAGTTCCCCCCACGAGTGTCATTCCACTCTATCGGTCACGCAAGATGAGCACATCAAACGGCCCTCTATAAAGAGTTCCCATTACCCCGCCCTTTCGGTGGCAAACGCCAGGTCTCGTCGTGGCACCGGTCCGAAGGAAGAATCTCGACATCAGGGCCTGAGCTCTCAGGGGAAGCAGACGGAAGCAACAGCCCAACTCTGTGCGCATGCAGGAACCTGAGTGCCGAGAGTCAGCATCCCCAGCATCTCCAGCATCATTTGGACCAGTCTTTGTGGCTGGGTTTACTAAACCAATGAACCAGCCAACGAAACAACCAGCCAACCAGCCAATCATCACCCCCCTTGTCAATGAAAACACACGCACACACATGAACATGCAAAGGTGCCGCTCTGTGTGTTGCGTTTATGCGCGCAGGAAACAAGACATCCTGATCTGCAACGTGCGCAAGTTACAACCATCACATACGGGGCGTGGCAATCATGAATAGTTTCTCACCTGAACAAAGATAGGTTCGCGAAAGAAACAGGTAGGAAACCAAACAGCTTCCTAGGGTCGGTTTTGGGGTGTGACTTCCTAAGTTCTGTCCTGTCAGATGGCATGAGCTCTCTCACATGGCACTTAGGACCGCGGCCCAAGCAAGTTTGTTCATTCCAAGTGGCAGACAGGAAGAGCTTGCTCTGGCCGATCAGAAGCACCACCTGATCGCAATCCAAACATCGGAAAACGCCGACAAAGGGATCCCCCTAGTTCAGGGAATGGCGACGATTTCCTCTGGTTTCCGCGTCTTCCCTTTCAAGTATGACAACAAGGATCCCTATGTCGGGTTCCAATCTTGGGGAAGAATGTGAGCAGCCCAGCGAAACATGTGGTTTTGCCTCTTTCTGATAGTACGCAAGGGTGTTTGAAGGGAAAACAGCGAGAAACCACACATCTTGATTTGTTTGCCCCATGAAGTACACCCGGCTCACGTGTTTCTGGTTGTATTTTAAAAACACCCGGGTTTGTGTGCCTCTTTCTTTTTTAACGGGAACCCAAGCCCGTTTCGTCGTCCTTTTGCCCCTCAGAACCACCCGAGCGCAGCCAATGGATGAACCGGGATTGCAAAGCTGGGCGTTGGAGCATGACATGTGCAGGAAACCGTTTCCCTTCAAGCCAAGCTGAAACACCCACAGACACAGACACACAGACACACAGACACACAGACACACAGACACACAGACACACAGACACACAGACAAACAAACACACAAACACACAAACACACAAACACACAAACACACAGACACACACACACACACAAACACACAAACACACAAACACACAAACACGCAAACACACACACACACACACACACACACACACACACACACACACACACACACACACACACACACACACACACAAAGTTTCTATACTTCAAAGGGGCTCAACTTCATGTTCAGCCAAAATTTCGGCACGCGATAAGCAAAAGGCTGAGAGACACACCGTCCCAAAGCCGGGGCTTTTGAAAAAGCCGGCCTTGGCATCATCTTCTCCGATGCATCGCAAGGCTTCAGAACCCAAAGGGCTGTCAAAATACCGTACTGGAGTGAATAAACTGAATAAGCCACCAACCGGTGCAGGATTCCACCACAGGGTCTCTTTCGTTCTGTTGTTTTTGTTTAAGAAGCCGGCACAAGGTGGCAGGTCCCCAAAAAAAACACGCGAACCGGCCATCTTTTTGACCCACCAGAAGTTCGGGGCAGTGTGGCTCAAAACCGCCCCGAGGCGAGGCCCGAGGCCCGGGCGGGCGCGGAGGACTTGTTGCAGGCCGTGGTCTGCAGAAAGTCCCCGAAGCCTCGGCCCATCGGAGGTTCGTGGAACTGGCTGGAACACCAGAACACCGTGGGTGGGTGGGGGTGGGTGGGGTGGGTGGGGTGGGTGGGGGTGGGTGGGGGTGGGTGGGGGTGGGTGGGGGTGGGTGGGGTGGGTGGGGTGGGTGGGTGTGGGTGGGGTGGGTGGGGTGGGTGGGTGGGTGGGGGTGGGTGGGGGTGGGTGGGGGTGGGTGGGTGTGGGTGGGTGGGGTGGGTGGGGGTGGGTGGGGTGGGTGGGGTGGGTGGGGGTGGGTGGGGGTGGGTGGGGGTGGGTGGGGGTGGGTGGGGTGGGTGGGGTGGGTGGGGTGGGTGGGGGTGGGTGGGGTGGGTGGGGTGGGTGGGGGTGGGTGGGGGTGGGTGGGGGTGGGTGGGGTGGGTGGGGTGGGTGGGGTGGGTGGGGTGGGTGGGGTGGGTGGGGTGGGTGGGGTGGGTGGACAATGTCCACAGAATGTCTGTATGCGGCGCAAAACGGACATCTGCATCTGTGTTTTGCTGGGGAAATTATTTGCTTAAACCATTTTCTAGAAATTGGTTCGGGCTGAGGGGTTGTTTCTTAGTGAGAGTTTTCGGACATGGACTATCTTTATCGGTTCCCCCCTGGCTTCCCTTTGCACAAAAAACACACATCGCCGAAGGGAGGGTCGCCCCCCACCCAAAAAAAGGCACATGTTGGGTGTGGTTGATGGCATCCTTTTTGGGTATTGGGAAGCCAAAGATTCACCGGCTTTTGGGGCTCCCCTATGTTGACACATACCCAAATAGACCCTCATTCCAATTTCAAGGCAAGCCCATCTCAGACAAAATGATGAAAAACCCATTTGCGAGCGACCGTAGATCATGCCGATGATGAGGATGGGCATCAGCTCCTGCGTCCTGCGCAAACATTAGTTTGCTTCTCAAACCCGAAACGCCTCGGCTATCAGACGACCTCATTTGGGGGCGGGAGAACCTTGCTTTTTGTGAGGAGGATCCATTTTGGTGGGCACCAATTTTTCCGAAACTATGTGGGAGCCCATTTGAGGTCCGAGTGCTCACTCTTCGCCCACTTTGGGGGTAAGGCCTTTGGGTTTCGTGCATTGGGACTGAGATGGGCGCTCCAGAGGTAATGGGACTCTGGACTGCCTTTTTGTTCAACATGAAAAGACACGATCTTTCAACGAGTCCCGGGATGCTCGGGCTCAGGATGAATCATATCCAAGGAAGGTGTTAATAAATGCAGCCAACTATCATCAACCAGCACCTAATTTTGGGCACCCCATTTTGGGGAATTGCACAAATAGGGGTTCTGGCTTGTATTTAAGACATGTGCTTGAGAATAAGGGTTGCTAAGACATGTGATTTCACAATCCACATACAAAATGGCCCCTGCGCTTTTTTGGGCTGATCGGAAAATGCGAGCTCCAACAATCACGAAAAACAGCGTCGGCAAGTATTGCAGCTATGCTGCAATACTCCGGCAACTCCCTCGCCAGCTGTGACGTGCACATCGCAAACCACATTGTTTGTGTAATGCAAATGGAAAACGACAACGTTGCTCTCAGCCCCCCAAAAGCAAGTCATCTATGCACATGCAGTATGTGGAAACCCTACGTGTGTCCTACCCCTAGGAATGGGCGATGAATGGCAAACATGGTCGAAGGGTTGGCATCGAGCGTCCTTCAAGTAGGCACTCAACGATAGAAACAATGTTCTGTGTGGCTTGGCTGTGCCTGTCTAGTCTACATGAGAAAAACAGAGCACAAACCAAGTTAGAAATTGGGAAACCCCCAAAAGGGAACCAACTCAAAAAATGTGAAACCCATCCGGGCAAATACATGCCAAACCTCACGTAACCTGTGATTTGGATTGGTTGGGATTGGACCTCACTGGTGGGCACACATGTCTTAAGATGGACCCCGCTTGATGAAGTTCTACTTGTTTCCCTGACGAGAGAAGGGTTTCCTCAAAGAAACACCGTGAGGAACCAAGGAGAAATCGCGAAGGTGGCAAACTGAGGACACACACACACAAGCGTTCATGTGCTAATTACACGACAAGGGGCACACAGAGAAACACAAAGCACAAACCAAAAGGAGAGAAGAAGAGAAATCACGAAGGTGGCAAACGGAGAACGCAGACACAAACGTCCATATACTCCACGACACGACAAGGAGATGAGGGAAGGGAAAACGCAAAGCACAAACCAAAAGGAGAGGAGGGGAGAAATCACGAAGGTGGCAAACAGAGAACACACACAAACGTCCATATACTTTACGAGAAGGGGCATACAGAGAGGGAAGGGAAAACGCAAAGCACAAACCAAAAGGAGAGGAGGGGAAAACTCACGAAGGTGGCAAACGGAGGACACACGCAAACGTCTATATACTTCAAACTTCAAACCAAGAGGAGAGGAGTGGAGAAACAATTGCTTTTCATGTTGACAAATTCGCAGTCCGCCCAGCTGTTTACAAAAAACAGTTTTTGTATACGGCCGGCGCCCCCCCCCATGACAAGAACAAATCCTTAATGACACGCAAAAATCCTTAATTACAAGCAGGTGCTTGTAACTAAGGATTTTGACAAGAAAAACATCCTTAATGACAAGCAAAAATCCTTAGTTGCAAGCGGGTGCTTGTAATTAAGGATTGTTGACCAGCAAAAGTCCTTAATGAGCACGTGAACATCCTTGCTTCAAAATACATTTTTTGACAAGCACATATGCTTAATGACAAGCAAGAATCCTTAATTACAAGCAGGTGCTTGTAATTAAGGATGATTGACCAAAAAACAACCTTAATGACAAGCAAAAATCCTTAATGACAAGCAAACACCCTTAATTACAAGCAGGTACTTGAAATTAAGGAAGTTTGACAAGCAAAAATCCTTAATGACAAGCAACAAACCCATAATTGCAAGCAGGTGCTTGTAATTCAGGATTTTTGACCCGCAAGAATCCTTAATGGCAAGCAACAAACCCTTAAATTACAAGCAGGTGCTTGTAATTAAGGATTGTTGACCACCAAAAATCCTTAATGACAAGCAACAATCCTTAATTACAAGCAGGTGCTTGTAATTAAGGATTTTTGACCAGCAAAAATCCTTCATGACAAGCAAAAATCCTTAATGACAAGCAAACACCCTTAATTACAAACAGGTACTTGAAATTAAGGAAGTTTGACAAGCAAAAATCCTTAATGACAAGCAACAAACCCATAATTGCAAGCAGGTGCTTGTAATTCAGGATTTTTGACCAGCAAGAATCCTTAATGGCAAGCAACAAACCCGTAAATTACAAGCAGGTGCTTGTAATTAAGGATTGTTGACCACCAAAAATCCTTAATGACAAGCAACACTCCTTAATTACAAGCAGGTGCTTGTAATTAAGGATTTTTGACCAGCAAAAATCCTTAATGACAAGCAACAAATCCTTAATTACAAGCACCCGCTTGTAATTAAGGATTTTTGACAAGAAACAGATCCTTAATGACACGCACAAATCCTTAATTACAAGCAGGTGCTTGTAATTAAGGATTCTTGACCAGCAAAAATCCTTAATACAAGCAGGTGCTTGTAATTAAGGATTTTTGACCAGCAAAAATCCTTAATGACAAGCAAAAATCCTTAACTACAAGGAGTTGCTTGTAATTAAGGATTTTTGACCAGCAAAAATCCTTAATGACAAGCAAACATCCTTAATTACAAGCAGGTGCTTGTAATTAAGGATCTTTGATAAGAAACTGATCCCTAATGACACGCACAAATCCTTAGTTACAAGCAGGTGCTAGAATTAAGGATTTTTGACAAGAAATAGCTCCTTAATGACACGCACAAATCCTTAATTACAAGCAGGTGCTTGTAATTAAGGATTCTTGACCACCAAAAATCCTTAATGACAAGCAAGCATCCTTAATGACAAGCAAACATCCTTAATTACAAGCAGGTGCTTGTAATTAAGGATTCTTGACCACCAAAAATCCTTAATGACAAGCAAACATCCTTAATTACAAGCAGGTGCTTGTAATTAAGAAATTTTGACCAGCAAAAATCCTTAATGACAAGCAAACATCCGTAATTACAAGCAGGTGCTTGTAATTAAGGATTGTTGACCAGCAAAAATCCTTAATGACAATGGTCAAAAATCCTTAATGACAAGCAAACATCCTTAATTACAAGCAGGTGCTTGTAATTAAGGATATTTGACCAGCAAAAATCCTTAATGACAAGCAAACGTCCTTAATTACAAGCAGGTGCTTGTAATTAAGGACTTTTGACCAGCAAAAGTCCTTAATGACAAACAACAAATCCTTAATTACAAGCACCCGCTTGTAATTAAGGATTTTGACAAGAAACAGATCCTTAATGACACGCACAAATCCTTAATTACAAGCACCCGCTTGTAATTAAGGATTTTTGACCAGCAAAATTCCTTAATGACAAGCAACAATCCTTAATTACAAGCAGGTGCTTGTAATTAAGGATTTTTGACCAGCAAAAATCCTGAATGACAAGCAAACATCCTTAATTACAAGCACCCGCTTGCAATTAAGGATTTTTGACCACCAAAAATCCTTAATGACAAGCAAAAATCCTTAATTACAAGCAGGTGCTTGTAATTAAGGATTCTTGACCACCAAAAATCCTTAATGACAAGCAAAGATCCTTAATTACAAGCAGGTGCTTGTACTTAAGGTTTTTTGGCCTTTGTGTTCCCCACGTCTCAAGGAGCGTGCGCAATTACTTCCTTAGTCTCGGCCAGCCGAACCAATTTCAATCTCTAGGCCATGGACGCTAGCCCTGCGCACTGGTAAAGCAGTTTGCACGAGGAAAGCACGAATCCGATAGGCAAGAAACCTTATTTACAGGAAAAATCCACATTTTTGAGGAGAAAACCTGATTTGCAAGCAAAAATCCTTATTCGCAAGCAAAACTCCTTTTTTCGCAGAAAAAACCTTTAATGACGAGCAAAATTCCTTAATGACAAGCAACAATCCTTAATTACAAGCAAAAATCCTTAATTACAAGCATGTGCTTGTAATTAAGGATTTTCGCTTTTTTTGGCGTCCCCTGCTTTTCAAAAACAAAAGCCGCAAATGTTGGACCGAAAACTGGGGGACAGACCCTCAATTCTGTCCCCCAGTTTTCGGTCCAAAACGAGGATTTTCATGTTTTTTGGTCTGAAAAGTGGGGGACACAAAAGCCAAAAAGTCTTAATTACAAGCACCTGCTTGTAATTAAGGTTTTTTCTGCGAAAAAGGAGGTTTGCTTGCGAATACGGTTTTTTGCTTGCAAATCAGGTTTTCTCCTCGAAAATCTGGATTTTTCCTGTAACTACGGTTTCTTGCCTATCGGATTCGTGTTTTCCTCGCGCAAACTGCTTTACCACTGCGCAGGGCTAGCGTCCATGGCCTAGAGATTGAAGTTGGTCCGGCTGGCCGAGACTAAGGAAGTAATTGCGCACGCTCCTTGAGACGTGGGGAACACAAAGGCCAAAAAACCTTAAGTACAAGCACCTGCTTGTAATTAAGGATTTTTGCTTGTCATTAAGGATTTTTGGTGGTCAAGAATCCTTAATTACAAGCACCTGCTTGTAATTAAGGATTTTTGCTTGTCATTAAGGATTTTTGCTGGTCAAAAATCCTTAATTACAAGCGGGTGCTTGTAAATAAGGATGTTTGCTTGTCATTCAGGATTTTTGCTGGTCAAAAATCCTTAATTACAAGCACCTGCTTGTAATTAAGGATTGTTGCTTGTCATTAAGGAATTTTGCTGGTCAAAAATCCTTAATTACAAGCACCTGCTTGTAATTAAGGATGTTTGCTTGTCATTAAGGAATTTTGATGGTCAAAAATCCTTAATTACAAGCACCTGCTTGTAATTAAGGATGTTTGCTTGTCATTAAGGATTTTTGCTGGTCAAAAATCCTTATTACAAGCACCTGATTGTAATTCAGGATGTTTGCTTGTCATTAAGGATTTTTGCTGGTCAAGAATCCTTAATTGCAAGCACCTGCTTGTAATTAAGGGTTTTTGCTTGTCATTAAGGGTGTTTGCTGGTCAACAACTCTTAATTACAAGCACCTGCTTGTAATTAAGGATTTGTTGCTTGTGATTAAGGGGTTTGCTGGTCAAAAATCCTTAAATTGCAAGCAGGTGCTTGTAATTAAGGATTTTTGCGTGTCAGTAAGGAATTTTGCTGGTCAAACATGCTTCATTACAAGCACCTGCTTGTAATTAAGTTGCTTGTCATTAAGGATTTTTGCTTGTCATTAAGGATTTTTGCTGGACAAAACTCTTTAATTACAAGCACCTTGCGTGTAATTAAGGGTTTTTGCTTGTCATTAGAGTTTTTGCAGGTCAAAAATCCTTAATTACAAGCACCTGCTTGAGATTAAGGATTTGCTGCTTGTCATTAAGGATTTTGCTTGTCAAAAATCCGGATTTTTGCTTGTCAGTAAGGATCTGCTTCTTTTCCAAAATCCATATCTACAAGCACCTGCTTGTAATTAAGGATGTGCGCTTGTCATTAAGGATTTTTGCTGGTCAATAAGCACGCTCCTTGAGAACAAGGAATTCATTGCGGACGCTCCTTGAGAACATGTTTATTTTTGAAGGGGGTGGGGCGGGGGGGGGGGGGACGCCGGCCGTATACATTGTGTTTTGTAAACTGTGCTGCGGGTGGGGGGGGGGGGAGTGAGTCCCGAAACGGGGGCACCTAATATCTAAGGACCGTGAATGCTGGAAGTCCCTGGTTATGCTTTCGTTTGGGCATCGCTCGCGGAATTTCTCAGTGCAAGCGCGCAGCAAACGTACCGGAGTTTCGCTTTTAGATGTGTCTGATGCCTGAGTCACCCTAAGCCAACAACGACTGACTGCTTTCATTTGGGCATTGCTAGCGGAATTTCTCAGTGCAAGCGCGCAGCAAACGTACCGGAGTTTCGCTTTTATGATGTGTCTGATGCCTGGGTCACCCTAAGCCAACAACGACTGACTGCTTTCATTTGGGCATTGCTAGCGGAATTTCTCAGTGCAAGCGCGCAGCAAACGTACCGGAGTTTCGCTTTTAGATGTGTCTGATGCCTGAGTCACCCTAAGCCAACAACGACTGACTGCTTTCATTTGGGCATTGCTAGCGGAATTTCTCAGTGCAAAGCAAACGTACCGGAGTTTCGCTTTTAGAGATGCCTGAGTCACCCTAAGCCAACAACGACTGACTGCTTTCATTTGGGCATTGCTAGCGGAATTTCTCAGTGCAAGCGCGCAGCACGCTTTTAGATGTGTCTGATGCCTGAGTCACCCTAAGCCAAACCGACTGACTGCTTTCATTTGGGCATTGAATTTCTCAGCGGAATTTCTCAGTGCAAGCGCGCAGCAAACGTACCGGAGTTTCGCTTTTAGATGTGTCTGATGCCTGGGTCACCCTAAGCCAACAACGACTGACTGCTTTCATTTGGGCATTGCTAGCGGAATTTCTCAGTGCAAGCGCGCAGCAAACGTACCGGAGTTTCGCTTTTAGATGTGTCTGATGCCTGAGTCACCCTAAGCCAACAACGACTGCTTTCATTTGGGCATTGCTAGCGGAATTTCTCAGTGCAAGCGCGCAGCAAACGTACCGGAGTTTCGCTTTTAGATGTGTCTGATGCCTGAGTCACCCTAAGCCAACAACGACTGACTGCTTTCATTTGGGCATTGCTAGCGGAATTTCTCAGTGCAAGCGCGCAGCAAACGTACCGGAATTTTGCTTTTACATGTGTCTGATGCCTGAGTCACCCTAAGCCAACAACGACTGACTGCTTTCATTTGGGCATTGCTAGCGGGATTTCTCAGTGCAAGCGCGCAGCAAACGTACCGGAGTTTCGCTTTTAGATGTGTCTGATGCCTGAGTCACCCTAAGCCAACAACGACTGACTGCTTTCATTTGGGCATTGCTAGCGGAATTTCTCAGTGCAAGCGCGCAGCAAACGTACCCGAGTTTCGCTTTTAGATGTGTCTGATGCCTGAGTCATCCTAAGCCAACAACGACTGCTTTCATTTGGGCATCGCTAGTGCATTTTTCAGAAATTGCAGGCTCACAACCAATGACTTAATTGCAAAGCCGGGGTGTCCCCCAAGTTTGCGTTTTGAGCAAACAATACCGATTACAACTGGTGATTGAACTGTTCAAAGCTGATCGCCTATGGAGCATTGGGTCATCTGTTCTACTGAAACGAAATTGCAGGCTAACGACCAATGACTGAATATGTGCTCTACCAATGCCACATTGCAGAGCATGGGGTGTCCCCCAAGTTTGCGTTGTGAGAAAAACCATGTCTGATCCCAACTGGTGCCTGAACGGCCCCAAAGCAGCGAGAAACATGGGTTCAAAAGCCTTGATTACAAACAACAACCTTGAAACACCTGGGATTGTGTCCCCTGGGGCACCCCCTAAGTTTGAGTTTCGAAGAAACAACTATTAACAGGGGCCCTCCAATTCATACATATGTCTAAACAGACTAGGGTTGCAAAAACACCGGATACCGTAAACCTTATTCTCAACCCCCCTCCTTATTCACAGGGTTTATGCAATTTGCCACCCCATTTAGACCCAACGGAGCCATAGCTTCTCACCATCTTCGGCTGGCTTTGAATCAATAACAATGAATGTCAAACAGCGCAAGCTCATGGTCTCTTTGCGGGGATTCAGGTGGGCCCCACTACGTGTCCCGCAAAAACCAGGCACCACCAGGGGACTCACGAAATGTCCCAAAACCCTGGTGGCGCGCGCTAAAATTCGGCAAAGCCGGTGGGCTTTGATTCTGTTAGGTGCTCAGTCACACAAGCCACATGAAATGCTCTCCGAAATTTACATGGTGTGTGTGTGTGTAATGGTGACCTCCATGTGCTCCCGTCCGAATCAACCACAATAGCAACACGGCATTCAACCTGGCGTGTGATCACGGGGGGATACAAGCCTCAAAAGTGAAGGCTCCCCGCTGAACAGGACAGCCGCCTGCAAACCAACCAAGGATTCATGGACCGCCAACTTACTTGCCCTGACAGACCCTGGAGGGGCAAAGAGCCCTCATTTGGGGGGCAGCACTTACACCAGATCCAAATGACGATTCAGGGGCAACTCAACCGGCCTGGAACTCAACTCGACCAAACTGGAGCTCGACGCTTCTTCCGCTTGCAACATTTGCAGCATCAAATCCTTCATCCTGAGCTACCCGCCCGCCTGAAATTCAGCAACTCAGCACAGGCGCCCTGAGGGCACGCCGGGGGCGAAAGGACAATAGTTTTCAGGGAAACCCGAAAGAAACCGAACAGCTACCTGGACCACCAAAATTATGCGCATTGGCATGGTGGAGAACCGAAACCAACATGTGCGGAGGACTTTTCCTTTGGGGTTCCCGCTTTTGGGGTTTCATGGATTCCTGGGTGTGCTGAATCCCCTCCCAGGCCTCCCCAACCCTCAAAGGGAATGCTCCCAGACCCGAGAGTTGCAGGGGGCAAGCCCTTTAGGGGCAAGCCCAAACTCATTCTTGTCAGACGCAAACCCCCAACTTTGGCAATCTGCCCTGGAAGAAACCTCATTCGATCACGTTCCGCCTTCAGCGGCCTCTTAACATTCCATGGCCAAAGGATGATGCGCGGCACGTAGCAAGGCCCCCGAGAACCGAAAACCTCAAGCAACTGCCAAAGAAGGAAGTTTCCGACGACGCAAAGAAAAGGGATGCTTGGCAAACTGGGGAACAGCAACAAAAACTGGCCCTGTACCTGGCCACTGGCCCTACGACCCTGATCAACAACACTCCCATGGCGCCTGAACTCCGTTCTTGGCGGTGATCACGGCCACGGCGATCAGCACTGAGACGATCTGTGAGGTCAGGCTCAGCGTGATCTCAGCATAGCCGGAGGCGGGGTCAACGGGTCAGTTCTCAGGACATTCCAAGGAAAGTAAGAGTATCTGCCAACGATAGTGCCTGGAAGTGGGGGAAAGCTTCAGAACTGCATAGGCCTCATTGCCCGCCTTCTACCTGGCCCCCGTCGAAAATGGCAACCAGCTTATGTTTTTGTTTTGTGCGCTGCTCAAATGGTCAGTGCCATTCAACCGAAGGGTTCCCTTCCGCTCTCAACTCGGATTCGTGAACTTTGGGCCATGCTTTTTGGCTCATCTTCGATCTGCGCTAGCGGAAACTGGTGTAAAACACAAGCAGGCCAGGCTTACAAGTCGGTGGATGGGTGAAACAGTTGGAAACCACTTTCAGACGATGTGGTTTACTTTTCGTGATCTTTCCACTGAAAATCCCCTGTGTCCCTGCCGGAAACTATATAACAGCACTGAGAAGGGCCCTTGTCCTGCTCTTTTGGCCGGTTCCAGAATACAGCGATGGGCTTGGGAGTGCTTCTGTTCATCTGAGGTCATCCCCATCCTTGCGGCTTCTTAATTTCCTCCTGGCTTCCCTCTAGAACCATCCAAAAGGCGGTTGCTGAAGCAGTTGGGTGTGTCACTTTTTAGGGGCAGCCCCTTTTGGTTGGAAGGAGAAACCAGGAGAATCACCGCTGGTGGAGTTCCCTAACTTCAAACAACCCCAGTTGCTTTTTTTGTTTTGCCTCTGGTGTCCCTTGACTTCCAACAAAGTGTCAAAAAAAGACTCCATATTCAAGGCGCCTACCAATTTGGGTGTGCGGCCGGACCCCCAAAATGGGCGGATTCCTCTTTTACGTTCCTTTGAACGCAACCTGCAAAAGGTATCAACAATAAATACGCACGTCGTCGTGTCTCGGATAATAAACCTGCAAAAATTCCGAGCCTCCACAAAACGCAGAAAAACCGACACCTGGGGTCTGCCAAAATCCCGGGGCCCCGCGCGATGTGGAAGGGCATCACCCGACGGCCGAGGTCTCTGCCCACCCAGGCTCCGCTCACGTCCCGCTCGTACTCCCAGAGGTGCGCCTGAGATCACGGCTGGGTTGGGCTCGGGGGTGAGAGAGGCGGTTGGGTTTGGACGCTTGGGAGGTGTTTGGTCTTTCGAAAGAATTTTGGGTAAAACAGGTGGGAAAAAAGGACAGTACAGGGAAACCGCTTGCTGAATTGGATCAAGAGAAGACTGCCTCGTTGCCGCGAGATTGCACGACCATCTTTGGGGCACCAACTCCTGGCCTTGTACATGCACTAAAAGGGATTCCTCGCAATGACTAGTTTCCTTTTCGCCTCTCCGCTATAGAGGGCGAGGAACTCCCAAGTGTGGGTCCAGCGGAGTTTGACAAACAAAACAAGACAAGAACAAATGTTATCCATTATAAAGCCACACAAAAAGTGCACCATCCAAGAAACGACTCTTCAGAGGCTTGTGGCCCTGAACCGATTGGTTAAACCAATCCAAAAGGAACCAGGGTTGAAGCCCGACATATTGCAGGTGCGCACAAAACAAACGCAGGGCACTCTCCCCGACGAGAACTGCTACATAACATCTGCGGGACCCCTGCCCTAGTACAATGTTGACTTGCAATATATCGGGCCTCAGAAGCGGATTCTCGCGCGGCGCTGCGGCGAAAAGGGTTGGAGAGGCCCATCTTGCGGAACTTGCGCTATTTAGGGCTTCCATACTATCCCGGAACTTGGCTCTCACAACAAAGATGGCTCAGGCAGTGGCTCCTGGAGGTTTGGATCCTTGCGCCTCTGAGCCCGGCGCAGACTTCGAAAGCTCCGTGAAGAAGGGGTGGGCGATGCCGATGGCAATGCTGAATGCGGCCTTAACAGGGCACATGACACAAGGAGATGGAAACAAAGATCCTCCCACTTTTGCTGAGCCCCCCCACCCCCTCCCCCCAACCAAATGCGCACGGCACTCCCGGAACTGCCCGTGCCAGAATCTGCAGCCAACTCAGGCCTCTCTGCTTTGCATCGGGCGCATTGGAACAGTATCAAGCTCGCAACATGTTGACTGGAGACAGCAACGACCCATACTGCATTGCAACTACATCAGCTTTCGGCCCCGCCCATAGAAGCACCTCGGAAGTTTGTGGTGAACTGGCCATGGCCGTGCTTGGCTTCTCAGACAATGTTTTTGGGCAGATCAAAGGGTCTTAACTCTGCCGGGGAAACCAGACGTAAACTGCACAAGTACCGCAAAATATCTCGGCAAGCAGCAAAGACAACGGTGATGACCTCCACCCTCCACGACGACGACGACCACCACCACCACCATCGCAACCACCACCACCACCACCACCACCACCACCACCACCACCACCACCACCACCACAACTGCAGCAGCAAACAGAAAAAACCGACAAGCGACAACCATCAACGAACAACCAACACATCTCCGCTAGCCCATGCAAAGCCACATCAACCAGCCAGGGATATCTTGACTTGGCCAAGATGCCGCCTGCAGCATCCTTCAGAAATCGCGGCGGTTGAAGGAGGTTGGGCGTAGGGAGGCTCCCCCACAAACAGGTCCAACACCGTTTCTATCATTCAGAGTCTGCATATAAATTGGTAGACGGGCATCAAGGATTCACCCAACGCCTCCGGCCATGGGACAAACGGGACACGCTTGTTTGGGAGTTGATGTTTAAGCGAAAGCCTCTCGGGTAAAAAAAGAAAAACGGAACTGCCCCATTGGGGGTCTGGGAAAATCCTACCACGGCATCTGGGGTGTGCTGTGCCTTTGGGGGGAGCCTTGGCTTTGAGGGAAAAGGGAAGGGATGAGACAAAAAACATCGTCGGAAAACTGCCAAGTACTAGAAAATCCGCCTTGGTCACTGTAGGTGGGGGCGGGATATAACTAGGGGCTTCAGCTGTGCACAGGGATGGTGGGTTCTGAAGGTGGCATTGCCGGTAAGACCCAACAGAGGGGGCAACACGTCAGTTCTTCAAACCTACAACATTTGCAGGATCATTTTGACACAGAGAAAATGCAACATATCACGGTGGCACTTTCAAGGCCAGCCCCAGAGGTCTATGGCCTTTTCACGAAGCCCACAGAAAATGTTGCCAGGAATGTGCACAAACCCTTTCTTGTGGCGGGTGTTCGTCTGACCTTCTGTCGAATTAGCTGGCTCCTAAAATGAATTCCATTAAATATCCATCAAAAAGAGAAGTCCCTTCTCGAGCACTTGTTGGCAGAGTTTGAGCAAGCGGGGCTGTTGACCATGGCACTAAAACTGTCCTTTCTCCCTTCAAAGGAGTAAAAGCCCGTAAAAACCCTTTTTCCCAATTGTCCCTTTTTCCGGCATCCGGACTCGGGACGCCCTCTGCCCGCTCCTGTTGTACTTTGCAGCATCTGCGCGGGGCGCCTACGATCGGTTTGCGAGCGCCGAACAAATCCTCCCCGGTAGTGGACAGGTCGACGGAACCGAAACAGGAGCTCCGTTCTTGTTGAGGCCTTTGGCAAACATAAAACGCTCAAACGGGGCCCCTCCTGCAAAATGCATGCTGGAAAGCTTGGGCAACCAAGGGCCAGCCGAAACATGTTGCCAACACTCGCACCACCCAAAAGCACCGGGTCCCAAGGTAAGATCCCTGTTTCCGGAAACACGGCGTTGGTGGATATCAGTCCTCTTCTCCCAGATTGTGTTTCGGAAAACTCCAACTTTGGTTCATTGAAAGTTACCACAAACACCAAACAATCTGGGAGGGTGTCCAAGAATTGAATACGGACCCCTTTGGGGTTTCGAAGAGAAAGCAAAAGGAAACCTGTGAGCTATTCCGCATTCCCCATTTTATGCCATACCAGTCTGTAGGACTTCTCCGTTCCGCCCGGAATACCTTATCTTGGTGGACTGGTTGCTCCGCGCTGGTAGCGATTTATGTCAACTTCCAATCATACACCCTCCTTTCAGCATCGCGTAACTGTCCATCATCTACTCTGATTTCAGTTCTGGTTGATGCAAGATCCCTTCCCTAGAGTGAAGGGTTTTACATCAAACCATCCCTTTCAGTGGCCGGTTTTTTAACATATCTCAGTCTCATTTCATTCCCGGACCTGAAGGCCGAAGGCCCCGGCCCCGGCGGCCTCGGCCCCTTTGCGCCACGTGGCCTCGGGCTTGGCAGATGGCGCGGACAGAATCGTTGGGACGGATGAAGCCCGAAAAAATACACGGGCGAAACCGCCCAACTGGTGCAGTTGCTTTGTCTGTCTGATATATGTGGGCAAGTACAAGAATGCCAGTGGGCAAATCAAGGGTACAACTCAAACTTGATTTCCCCAGCACCCAACCCCCTGAAAGGGCCGGACAAATGGCACAAAACCACCCGAAGGGGGACAAGGACTCTCCCAGAAGTGAAGGGGGGGGCTCAAATCGGAAACAGAGTCCATGAAGATTTAAATTGTAATAGAAGAGAGTGTTGAGCGAGTGGCGAGGGGCGCGCTGGCGCGGGGCTTCCTTTGAGATCGCACACCCTTACTAGTCAACCTGTGGTTTGTCAATCCTGGGTAGATCAAACACATGGAAGTCGAAAGCAGTGAAATGTATACGGGGACCTCTGGGTGAAATCAAGTGAGAGTAAGGGATGGCTTTGTCGTGCTCGTCAAAGCGCCCGCCTTCTGATGAAAAGCCTCCCCTCAAGCACTTGTTACCAAACCACACCACCCCGCCCCACCCCCGCTATGTCCACAAGAAAGCCGAGTCACTTGCACGAGGCTGGAGATCCTGTGGGTGAAGGTGATTTCCGAATAATGGGTGGGCGCCGGGCCTGTTTCGGGCGCCGCCACCATAAACAAGCACCAATTTATGGTTCCAGGTTCTGATGGCGGCCCACGCTTTGCCTTGTTCACCAGACACAATGCTTCAAAACACGTCCAAATCACCGCTCGAAAAACCTTTCTGGGATGTCCCTTTCAAACGGCTACGGTCTGGTTGTCTATTCCAAACTTCTTGACCCTTTTACTTCATCATGAAGCCCGTTTCCCTCATTGTGAAGAGACTTGGTTGTTTCCCTGTAAATCACCCTTCAGGGCGTATGTCTGAGAGTGTCACTTTAATTGCAAAGGCCTCACCGCCCCTTAGGCGCTTGGGCGCCCGGCAACTGTCAAGGGCTTTGTGTAGCCCATGGCTCCGGCTTTCTCTTGGAGCCTTCTTGTGCCAACTGCTGCGGACAGATCTGGAGCTTTGTTGCAGCCCGGAAATCAGAGGAGGGTGGGGTAGGAGGGTAGGGTGGGGGGAGGAGGGTAGGGTAGGGTAGGAGGGTAGGGTAGGATAGGAGGGTAGGGTAGGGGGAAAGATAAAACGCCAAGCTGGGAAAAAACAAGATGGAACAAGCCCAGGGAACACTCCACTGGCCGGAAGAAAGGCCGGGTGCCGAAGGCATAGCGTGCCCCACGTGTGCCGAGGCTTCCCACACCCAGACATCGAGTTTCAAGCCCGGGCCCGAAGCAAGAGCATGTGGTTCAACACACCGACATCTCCAAACCTCCCAACCTCCGAAACCTCCCAACCACGTCATCTCCAAAGCTAACCAAATCGAACCTCGGATCCCGCACGAATCTGCTCACCTCGATGCTCTCCGGGCCCTGGAATTCCAGCTCCTGACCGCATTCCAGTCTCACTCGAGCCGATGTCACTCGGAAGGAAAGTCCGCAGTTGTGGCCTGGGAAACCGATTCCACCCCACCCCTAATAGCCTAGCCTGTCCGGAACTGGTTCTGAGAATCTGTTTTGGGGGGTAGGAGTATAGCCAGTATAGCATTTCAAGATGTTCATGGCGAAGCTTTCCTCACTTTGAAGGGGCGTCCCTTCATACCACACAAAATGACCCTAAAACCCGAGTTGGGCTTTCTTCAGGGAGTCTTCAAAATGGTGGCTTTCCTTTGGCTTCCCGAATAAACCGCAAAGAAAGGCGCTGCCCCTCAAAAATCGAACCCCTGCCCAGTCCGGCGAAAGAACCGCCGCGCCTGGCAGAAGGCCTTGAAGTCTCTGCGCGTGAGCCACAACCGGCCGAAGTCCAACCTGAGAATCCCTGGTTTGGCTACAAGCTACCAACTACAAGGGCCACCCGCCAGGCCACATAAATTTCAAGGAATGCCAGTCTACATTTTGGGAAACACAGCAACCCGGGGATTTGCCTTAATACAAAGAGTATTCAACAGCTCCCTTACACAACAGTTTAAGAGGCAAAGTGGCACATGCCTCTGTGATGACCATCTGGGATCAACGTAAAAGGATACCTGCCTACACCTGGGCAGCTACCCTGTCAAACTCCTCAGCATGGCAACTATTTGGACATGGGTCAAAACAAGGACAAAAGCATGGGCGGCTTTGCCTTTGGGTGCCACTCTCTGAAAACAATATTTTTGGAATCATGGTTGGGAAGCAGTGTGAAGACCTAAACAATGACTCGCATTTTGCTGCGACCACCATGGCTTAATTTGCAAACCGGTGTGCAACTTCCCGATGCCACCGAAAGGATCCCGGGATTGCTTGGGAAGTACGCCCTTCGTTCATCTTACCGTCATCCCCAAGCGCCGGTGATTCGACCAAGGCCCACACTTCTTCCAGAAGGTCAACTGGCGGGGAGCACCAGGCCCCGGAAAACAAGCTGCGGCCATTCAAGTTTTTAATGAAGTGTTTGAATTGTGTGGTTTGCCCTAGTCTTGGGCAAAAGTGGAGAGGCCCGGTTCAAGTGTTTTAAGGCAAAAAGCCCCGGCTCTCGTCTTTTGATTTTTCCGCCGAAGCCCGCCAGCTTGCCGTTGCCTGGTATGAATTATCAACAGACACGTGGGATGTGGCTGGATTTGTGTTCATCGGGTTCCGGGACCCAAAGCTTCCACCTGGTCACCTGAAGGTGTTCCAAAACCTTGAGTGGACAAACTCTCCAAAACGGTTCTATGACAATCTGTGGTCCCAAGCTATGAAAGGCTCCTCTTTGCAAGTCCATGATGGCTTCTCTCACAACTTGAGCCTAGTTGCCAGAGTCCACGGTGGTAAAAGCAGGAGCACAAAGTGCAAAATGACAAAGCTCCCAGGAACACCCAGGGCCCTCAACCCCAAAGCAGTCGCCTTTTGGTGTGCGAGGGGAATCCTTTTTGTCTTGCCTGGAAACCAAACAGATTGGCTTCCCTTTGAACACTTTTTGAGCAGGGGGAGGAGCTACAGGAAACACCTTGGAGATGTACCCAAAAGCTGAAAGATCTGGAGCACCGAGATTGACAACCATACAGCTTTGGTGGAACTGTTCCGCTTGAAATCCCAAAGTCCAACTTTGTGCCTTGTTTTGGATTCTTGAAAACATCCAAGACGGAGGGGGAGACAAACACATAGGTCTGGGCTTCCCAAAGTACAAAAATCATGGCACCTTTTGCGAGCCAGCGCAGTGATTTTGGAATACCTGTCTTATTGAAGAATCCCCAATGGCTTAAAGGGGTGTCATCACCGTCTTAACCCTGCGCCGTCTGCGTGCCGAAACTTGGGGTGACTTAACTCACTGTAGCGACGACGATTGGTCAAACTTCGAACAGTGTGACAGAATAGCCCAAAAGTCAGACATTTGGGGGAGTCTCCAAGTGTGGCAATCTCCAACAGGCTGAGCTTCCTTTGGCTTTTAGATGGCAAGCCTCAACTCGGGGTCTCTTGCCAAGTTGACCAGAAACCGGAATAGCCTCCAGTTTAATCATGGAAGTCGTGTTGGCAGCGGTTCTTTTTGAGCCTTCCTTCCGTTGGAAAGTGGGCCGTTCCTGGTGCGCTGCGCTTCGCGGGGCTTGACCCCGCCTCAAGCGCAAAGACTTGGGAGGGCGTCAGCACTGGGAACCTCAGACCGGTCCAACCGCCAAGAAACTTGGGAGGGTTTCGCTGGAGCGCACTGGTTTAAAAGAGGAGCTAAAGCAAACCGTCCAATCTGAGGGTCCCCGTATTTTCACGCAGCTCACCTTTAGACTTTCCAGAACCCTTTGCAGACCGCCGTCTCCGAACTAGGCAGCAAAAGCCTGTTTGAACACCCCCTGCACGGTCATAGTGGACCAGTTCAGTGCTTGGGAACAGAGTGCCAACCTGCCAAAGTTCTGCTGATTCAGCAACCAGTTCTTGGTTTCTCTTGCCGCGGTCTGGTTGTTCGAACAAACTGCCCCGTGCCGCGAACCATTACGGACCGCATACATCATGGTTCCATGTCAACCAAACCCCTGTTGTCCCACTTGCAACTACTGTGACCTATTTCCTTGCGGCTTGAACATCCCATTGCGCTTGCTAGTGCAGACGGATACGACTCTATGTGACAGAACGGTGTCTTACCGCTCATGCAACAGATCAACCATTTCAGTGGGACAAAACTTTTTGCCAAATCATGCATCAGTGGCCTACTACACACCCCCCCCCACCCACCCACCCGCCCGCCCACACACACATGCAAAAAGAAGAAGTAACATTGAACAAATAAGACACACCCACACACACACACACCCACGCACCCACGCACCCACGCACCCAGGCACCCACGCACCCACGCACCCACACACCCACGCACCCACGCACCCACGCACCCACGCACCCACGCACCCACGCAGCCACGCAGCCACGCACCCACCCACCCACACACACCCACACACACACACACACACACACACACACACACACACACACACACACACACACACACACACACACACACACACACACACACACACACACACACGCACCCACCCACCCACCCACCCACCCACCCACCCACCCACACACACCCACACACACCCACACACACACACACACGAGAGTAACAAAGGAAACAGCACATGTAAAAAAAAAAAAAAACCTGCCCTGCCCTGCCTTGCCTGCCTGCCCTGCCTCGGATTCCTTTGAATGCTGCCCTGCCTCGGATTCCTTTGAATGCGTGTGTGTATGTGTTTGTGTGTCCCACGGAACCAAAACCCCACCAACCCACTTCCTCCCTTCTGGAAAGCTCAACTAAGCAAAGGCAAGAGCTGGGTTGAAATGTGTGCTAACCGTCGCTTCAACATCCTCCGTGTTGACTGCTTTCAATCCATGCAACTACCCAAGCTTGCTCCCAACCATCAACCCTCTACCCCCCCCCCCTTCTCCCCAATCCCCTCAAACCCCCTAAATGCCCCCCCCATCCCCCCAAACCCCCTAAATCGCCAAGCCCGTCAATGGGGCTAAGCCATAAACCCTCAGGTCCCGGGCATGGACTGCTCCGCCATGGAGCTGCCCTTCACCGAGCTGTCGATGAGGTACTTGTCCTCGGCATCGGTACCGCGCGGAATCCAAAACGCGGGGGACGCCAAAATCCGGAGAAAAAAAAAGTCCAAGGAGGGGAGGGGTATGATGTTTATGGTATTGTGTTGTGTCTTTCTTCACTGTATCCGTCCATGTCTTAGTTGGCTTCGGGAAGCGTGTTGATTGATCATCAAAGCATGTTCCTTGCTTTGCTGAGTTCGGCGGGCGGGCCAAGAGCCCGGCCGTCACCAGCAGCGCCACTACAAAGAGCGGCCTGCGAGCTCCGGGACCGTCCCGAAGTCCGACTTCCGCCGAATCTCAAAATAGGAATCGGCCCCCGGAAATGGCAGGGGTCCCTTTCAATGGCCTTCAAATACCAACAAGGGGGTTCCCCGTTTTGAGATGCTGAAATAGAAGACGGAGGTCTGGCCAGGTTTTTGCTTCTCCTCGCCCAAATCGGTCCGAGTTGACAAGGGGGGGGGTTCAAAAGGCCAACAGGTGGCTCCAAAAGGAGGGGAGTCGTCCAACGCATCACAAAAAATGGCCCTACCTAATCAAATAGTAGGATCTCCGCACAATGATGGCTCACGAACGTGGCCAAAGGAGGTGACCCAGCCGAACCTTCGCAACAGACAGCACAACAAGAAGCACAAAACAAAAAATACTGTGGTCGCAGAAGAGTCTGCAAGTGATTGGTATCCTTTTGGTTTTCCTTCAAGAACCATTCCTATTTTGAGACATGCCCAAGAAATCAGGATCTTTCTACGAGTTGATTCCACATGTCACCCATTCTTTGTTCAGAAGCCACCCATTTAGCTGGGATGTGTTGCTGCCATTTTAAGAGAAGGATCCATGAGCAACAGCCAAACAGTTGCCTGAGATAATGCAACGGCAAATCTACTACACGCACACACTTGCTGTTGTTGAGCCAGGTGGGTGGATGTGTGTATGTGTTGCTCTTGTTGCAAAAAGGCCTAAGGCCAGTACCAAACCCTTGTGCGGTCTTGTTTTGCAAAAACAGAAAGGCAGTGCCAATGGGGGTTGTGGCAAAAACAGAAGGGGCATCCCCAAAAGAAAAAAGAAATAGGGTCCCTTTGAAAGAACTGTCCTGGGATTCCACAGGTTCCATTCCATTGGTTGACCTGACCAGGGATTGATCTTTCCAGGGCAAATTCTGGGTTAGTGTCAATGGGATGATCCAAACGATAGAAAAATGGCAGAAGCTGCTCGAGAATTCTTGTTGTTTGGTCCCCTTTGTGGTTCATGCTTAAAGTGCGAAGGGAAACTCTTGCCAGGTTGCGCAACATGGATGTTTGTCTCCAAACGGGAGCCATCCAAAATGAGCCTTGGCTTGCAAAGCCAAGCCATAGCTCGAAAAGAAGACCATCCCCCCCCCAAACATGGGTTGATCTCCAAACGCGAACCATCCAAAATGAACTAGACAATCCCCCCCCCCCGCCGTGTTCTATAAAACCACCCTCCAGCTTGCACTCCCAAACACAGGCCTCCAACAGGCCGGGTCCAGGCGCAGGCCCGTCTTCTCTCGGAAGCGGCGCAGGAAGATGAGGCCTAGCGCGGCACGTGTGTGAATCCCATGGGTTTCCCTTCACGTCTGTTTTGTTTTTTGGCGTCCTTTTGGGTGCCAAAAGGGAAAGTTGAAGAGTTGGCAAAAGCACAAAGCGACCCTGCCCCGTGAGAGGTTGATAGCTCTCAACCATGGCCTTTGATAGGGAGCCTCAAAAACGGTGGGTGGACCTCAGTCCCTGTGCTGTGATCTCTACCACACGATCCCTTCCAAGTTCACGCCCAAGTGTCACAAAAAAGGGGGAATACCTGCCATGTGGGTGCGTTTAAAAGTGGGGAAGGTGTCTTGAGGGTAATAATCCTTTTTGGGGCTGGTTTGCAGGGAAGGCCCAAAAGCTTGCAGTTTGTTGCTCCGTGGTGGTCTCATGAGACGGTGTTGGACCTGTGGTGACAAACCGATGGCGTATTGCTGGCTTGGGCAAGTCACCGTTGACAATTTGGGAAAAGCACGTTTATGGTGAGGGAAAAGTTGCCCAACAACTCAACGGTCAGCCTGGTTTGACCCAATTGGCGAATAGGCCCAAAACCCTGCGCGATAGCAAATGGCTGTTTGCTGCGGGAAGCAAGAAATCGTTCACCTTCTGATCAAAGGATAGTCCAGTCCGGTCTAACCAAACAAAAACTCACTCTAGGTAGAAGGTTGCAGTCCAGCCAAGAAAGGTTGGTCCAAGGTCTGAAGGTTGACATGGGCGTGAATTTTAATAGGAGGATCCCGCTCACAGGGCCCCCGGCAGCAGATCAGCTCGGAGACCTCGAAGAAGCCGTTCTCGAAGAGGCCCAGAATAAAGGCCGCGATCTGGGAAAACAAATCACGGAGCAGCCAGAAGGGACACCGAGGGTCGGTGTCCCTTTTCTTGCTTTTTATTCAGGACAGCCCGCCAAAAAGGTCCTCGGGTGGAGACAAGGACCCTAAGGACTGGAAGAAGCCAATGAAACATGTCTATGAACCGCGGATCGCAGCTGCACCACGCGGGAGCCTATCCTTGGATTCTTGGCTCACTCGACTTGGGCTGAGAGCATTGGTGTGGGAAATGGGGATAAGCTCGCTGTTTCGCTGCGTGCAAATCAGCGGCAAGACTCGAACTAGGCACATCCGGCGAAATCACCAAGCCCTGCAAGCCTGACATCTTTCTGACACTCGATGCAGAGCAAGACAAGCACTGACATACCTGTGTCATCTATACAACCCCATGCCCCGCAAAAATTGTACCAGGAAATCAAAACTTGCATAAGCGGCATCCCCGTAACTGACCTGCGTTCCCGAAATTCAGCTCACTTGCACAGCAGGTCAAGCCATCATCGGCATCAACAAAAGGTGCGTTTCTGATCCCAGAAACTACACTGCTGCATCAGCATCACCAGCACCTGCATCCCCTGCATGATCCCCATCACCGCTAGGCTGCCTGTGATGCGTGATGAGGGTGAGGCTTGCAATGAACTTGCATCGCTTGGGGTGGGTAAAATGCTCGAGTTGGAGCCATATTTATGATGACAAAGACCGCGGTACCTGCGATGATCTGACTCACCTGCATCACTTGCATTGGCTGCATTTTCATTTGAATCGCTGGCCATGACCTGAAGGCCACTTCTCCGAACCCCAGCCAGCCGCATTTCCCACGCAAAACCGACCCACCGAGTTGTCGAATGCCTCCAAGGGGTTGGTGTCTCCCATGGACTTCCTCCAACCGCCTCGGACGACCAGACGCCGCTGATTTTTCCAAGGCCTGGGCCCAGTTTTCACCTTCCCCGGTTTTAGGATTGCGGCATCCTTCCCGTTTTTGCAGGAACAACTGCGGGTGTGCAGATCCCACTCATCCAAGCAACAAATTTTAGGGGTACCTGATCTTCAAGAATTCGGAGCCAGTGAGAATGGCAATCATGCGGGCACGGCACAGGCCAAGTTGGACACAGTTTCCCAGGAGCCTTCGGGTGGCATTCACAGGGTGCTTGGAATCTCAATGGTTTCCCAGTTTGTGCTATGCCCACTCCTCCCCGCCCTTGATTTCCTGCAATTTGCTCTACAAAAACCAGTGGTTTCACGGAAGTGAGAAGCAATTCCTACAACCCAAGGTGTCAATCGACATGGACCAAACAGCGCCTCACACATTTTCTCGAACCCAAACGCGGATTCAAATCCGCTGTGCCGGGATGAAACTCAACACGAAAGGGAACCTGCGACGAGGACGTCGAAACAAACGCACAAACCTTCAAGATCCCATCCAAAATGTACATGTAAATTCTCTGCACGTGGAACTGTTTGAACAAGAGAGACAACAGAAAACCAGGACAGCCGCAAAGAGAAGCCACTGCAGCCCAGCAAGTCACATCGTCTGAGAGCGGCACGCAGGTCTTGGCAGTTGGACATGTGATACTGCTCCTGGCGTCGGCATGAATACACACAAAGGTTGCTCCAAAACCATGGGAAAATGTGGAGGTTGTCCCCCTTTGTCCGGATTTGTTGACAGAGGAAACTCCCAAAATGCGAGTCATTGGCTCTCTTACCCCCAGAATCCAAGCTCACGCGTTTACGGATCCCCTTTTACCATAAAAGGTAAACAAATGGAAACCCTGGAGGAATTGGTCCCCAGGTTTGAACCTCAACAGCTCCAAGCACTTCACCTCAAGAAACGATGGTGCCAATGTCTCATGGGGCCTTTGCTTTTTGCGGGTGCCATATTCTTGGTTGAAAGCGAAACCGCAACAAGACCACCCGCTTTGGGGAGGGAATAGCATTCTTTCTGTATGGACACCCTGTTGAAGGGAAATCCGAAAAGTATGCCGACCCTCTTTCGGAGGCTTCTCTACTTGGAGACACCTCCATGAAACGTTTATAATATATATATATATATATGTATATATATATATATATATACATACATATCTCATCAATGTGAAGCAGAATCCTGCCTCAGCAGTTTGCCCCGCAGCCAAGACCAATATCGTTGCTGGTTGCCTTTCTGCTCCCCTGCTAAAAGTTTAACTCTTAGTGATTTAATGGAAAATCCATTAGTTGGCAAAAAGTTACTGTCCTGACATCCAAGCAAAATGCACCAAAGATTGGTTCTGGTACATATTCAATGAGAACCTTTAAAATGTCAAAAGAGACCCCAGAATCCCTATCACAACCATGCACTTCCAACCCCGTGTGCGTGTTGGCATGTTTCATCTGGCACGCCTGTCTCTGGGAGGAAGGAACATGTTGCCCGTTCAGCACATCCATGATTTCAGAGGGTTGTTGTTCCATAGTGCGAAACAAAATGTGAGCCAAGTAGAAAAGGCATGGGAAAGCCCTGGAGTTGTAATGGCAAAAAAAACTCTGCCATGTTTATCTTCGGGCATCCATGTCAATCCCCCCCCCCCCAATTTTGCCCCGCCTTTAGCGCCCCGCTGGCTCTGTGTTTCGACACCACCTTTCTCCGCAATGAACCAGGAGTATATCAAGGGCATGGCAAAAGGTTGTTCAAAACGAATGGCTCCGGTTTGAGACCCAAGAAGCCTTGATTTTATGAACAACCCTTAGGAAACCAGCGAGGACCAAGAACGATACCAGCACGAAACCAACCGCGTCCCACATCCCATCGCTCCACAAGGGCTTATGGCTTCGGCTTGCTTTGCCGGTTTGCCACGCCCGATACCTCAGCGTTTGCTCCCAACCAAAAACAACATGTGTTTGATTCTGGTGCGTATTGAGTGCACCTCCAAATCCTACCTCAAACTCAGGCGGCTTTCAAGCTTCCTTCTGCCAAACCAAAAGTCGAAACCACTTTCCCAGCAACATCCTCCATACAAACAAAACAAAAAAGAACATCCCAGGGCCACCAAAACAGCTCACCCACTCCCCGTTGATTTTAACTCCCACCAAAAATCGCCGCTTCTGGCGAGGAGTGTTTTCTATGGGCCCGCCACCCATCGAGATCTCGGGCGTCCTCCGCGTAGAGCTTCCGCAGCTCCAGGGCCTCAGAGGGCATCTCCTCTCGGCTGGTGATCTCCTCACGCTCGGCTGGCGAAGCCGATGGACCGATGGACCCGATGGACCGATATCGACCCGTCCGACAAACGGGTCGGTGGGAAGAAGGCGAGCCAGCCGCTGTTGGGGATTCCGTTTCTTCTTCTTGTCCATATTTTCGCTTTGTTGCTTCTTCTTCTTTTTGGGGGGAAGGCGCTTTCTTCTTCCTCTTTTGTTGTTGTCTTTTTGTTGGGGGTGTAGGGTCGCATGAAGAACCCCACAAGCCACAGTTGTTGGAAGTTTTGTTGGGAGGTATTTGTTGGCGGGATAGCCTTCGACCCACTAGCATGGCATTCCTGGGAGGGCTGGAAGATCAATCTCCTTTCCAATGGACCTTTTGTGAGGTGCCATGTTACAGGGAGGAAGGGTATGGGGTTTGATTTTTCTGTAGCCCACCGGTAGATTTGGGGCATGTGAAAATTGGAAGGACCGACCGACTCAATGCAACGCCTAATTTTGAAAAGCTACTGACAAGTTTCCGAGCCGGTTTCGGATATAAGCCCGATGTCAACTAGAGGGTCTGTGTTGTTTTCTGAGTCCATCATGAGATTAATCGTCCGTCCCAATATGTTGAGAAAATACCAACTCGCGGTGTCCTGCGCGAAAATGACTCAACCTGGGCGACTTAGCACCCGAACTACCCCAAGTCGAAGGTTTCCCTCAAGGCCTCACAGGTCATAGGCCCCCATTCACCTGCCCCAAACGCAAAGCAGTGACATATACCTGAAGAACGGGGCGAGGCCTTGGACGAAAGTACGGGAGAAAATAGGAACTAAGGCGAGCCATAAGGCTGACAGTTTTCTCTGTCCAAAAGGGGTGGACTTCGGAAAACGCTTTGGGGGATCACTTCCCACTGGAACTGAGAGTCACCCTGATCAACTGAACTACAAAGTCACTGCAGTCACAAAGTTGATCCATCTGGCACGTTCCACTGAGACATCGCTCGTGATCAAAGCCGCCCCCACTCTGACAGTCTCCCACGGGACAAAGCCCCAACTGGGTGGACTCCCTCTGGCTTCTTTGTAATCGTGCGGATGTGGCGATGGCTCAGGTCAAAGCGAAAATGCCGCATGCCCGACATGCTTTGTCCAGGGTTTGCCGTTGTTCACTCGGAGGACTTGCTGAAACAGCTGGTTCTCTATAATCTGACCTGTTCTACACCAGAGGCCAAATTTGCGGCCTTCCATACCAGAATTTGCGACACTTCCCCACGGAACGGTTGCTTGCCTTTCATTGCCTTGCTTTGCCTGTCCTTTCCCGCCCTTTCCTGATCTTGCTTTGCGTTCTTGCCTTTTCTTCCCCTTCCCTTGCACGTGCATGGATGCATGCACGTGCAGAGTACCTAATTATAGTTGCATCTGTTTTACTATCATATCAGGCTAGTATGAATTCGTAAATCATCCCCGCCACCACAAATGTGAATAAACACCAAAGTGCGCTCGCTCAGCTACAGTATCAAAGGATCCCCCGCTGGCGCACATTCTTGAAAAACACAGGCAAGTTGCTTCTTGCAAGCGATCCCTGTTGCCCAGGCTTTGGTAAATGCTAACAAGCACGTTATGTTTCCAGTGATTCCTCATCTCGTGGTTCATTGTTTCCGCAAATTCCCCCGCTGGTCTGAACCTTTCCGCGCGTTGTGATTAAATCAGGCGCCGGAAACACCGTTGGGTGAAAGTAGATGGCACGACTCCATTATGCTAAACCAGAGTTGGGTGATGCCATCTACTTTCAGCCAGTGGTAGTGCTATGTCTAGCTCTTCCAACTACCATCTCCGGAAATGCGCTCAACTATATACGAGATGTTATTCTTGCGTCGCAACTGACAAGGGAACTTGGGGTGTACCCAATGTCCTCCCTAACTACCGTGAATGACGGAAAGTATGCGCTTTCTCAACTCCCCCTGCTAGATGCTTGATGCTGAAAATCCCCGAGTTGCCAGCTGTTAATCGACCCCGTCCTGGTGAATGTAGCATATACACCGCACCAGCAGCGACAGCCTCACCAAGGGCAAGCGGGTCGAAAACGGCGAGCGCAGCCAAGGAATTTGCATTGATCAAGGAGTTTTCAATTGGGATCCAAATCAAGCCCCCAAGACCTGACATGTTGGCGGAACCACCAGAAGCTGGTGAGGAGGGCTCTTTTGAAGTCTGCCCACCACAAGGCGCATTGAAAATGCGGCTTTCTTTCTGGGTTCCGCCTGTTCGGATAAAAAACATCGGGCTCCAGGACGGTACCGGGCTCCAGGAATCAAGCTGCTGAACGCAACGTGAATCCATTCCCAAGCGTTTGGTTTGCAAGAACAGGGATGCCCATTCTGGCTGGTTTTAGAGGGAAGCCAAAGAAAACCGCCCGTGTTGAAGGCGCCCCTACGTTTGGGAAACATCCAATCTTTTGGGGGCCACCTTGGTACAAATGATGTACTTTCGCCAAAGCTGCTTCCATTCGATCAATTGGAATCCTTTTTTGCCAGGCACCGAACCAAACCATCCACAGCTTCGCACTTCCAGGCACTTGGGCTGGCCCCAAAACCGATACCGTTATTTTCCACCAATTCGCAAAGAGGTGCGGTGAGAACCCTCTACCAAACAGGGAGCAGGCAGGTAGATCTAAATCTATCTCATGTATCATCAATATGCGTAGCGGTCCCTAAATTTGAGACCGACCCATTTGCAACCGTCCAGAAGCTGGGCCGCCGCGCTTCATCTGCCGGAAGGACCGGCTAGGTGCGAGCTCATCGTCATCACCTCGAGGGATCCCATCCGAAAGCCAAGGCCCCAAAGAGTTAGAGAACCTCTAAGAGGGGCAAATTGGGTGATCAAACGATTCTTCCTTCACCGCGCCCAACTTCACCTCCCGAGGCCATCAAACAGCTGGCTCGGGGTTTCCAAACATCCCCCCAATTCCCACGTACATTGACTTGAAAAATGTCCAGCATCTGCGAAAAAATGGTATCTCGATTTTCCTCTTTGTCACAACAAATAGAAGCGCAAGCAAAGGGTGACAAGCATTGACCTGAAGGACAAGTAGAGTATTGTTTGTTTTGTTTGGCCGCTTTTGCCATTCAACTTGACTTGCATCCAGAGAGAAAAGGATGCTACGTTTCACCCCAGCTGTGATCTTCATTGTTTGACGGCGATGCGTTTTTTGAGCTTCGAAGCATCCTGACAGGATTGACCCACAGGGATCAGGGAAGCGGCTGGCGGAAAGCCGCGCAGCAGCGCAAAGCACCAAAGAAGTGGGAACAGCTTCTTGGCACTTGCGAATGCCCGCTCTGACCAATGCATTTGGTCAGCTTCGGTTCATCGTTGGCCAAAAAAAGAAGCGCAGAGCCCCGGTCCACAAACCTCCAACCCGGAAACCCGAGACTGGGGCACCGGGCTATACTCCGGGTTCTGTCTCTGCTTCCTTCTAGGTGCCTCAAGGCCCAAAGCCAAAACCCCTTCTGAACCCGGCAGCAAAGTATTCACCTATCCCAGGAAACTGCTCGAAATCAAGCACACCAGAAACCTGGCTCCCTGAAAATGTGCCAAAACACGGGCAGCGCAGCTTCGGTGCTGCGCCACCTGTTTGATGCGTTTCTTGGTTTTGGTCTGCAGAGTGCTGGGTTTCGATGCTGCAAACATGAGAAAAGTGGTCGGCTGATGTTCCAAAGGCAGCGGCCATACTCTCGAGCCATGTAGCAAATTCAGCCCTCAATTTGGGCGGACTCGCTTGGGCCTCAGAGCCACTCTGAGGCCTTGTCCCATGATAAAAAATGAATCTTGTCCGCATGTCCCAGCTTGAAAGCAGGCGACTAAAATGTGGGCATCAAGGTCAAGGCATTGATTTGGGCCCTGAACGGGTTTCAACAAGCGATTTGCCAGACCCACAGAGCTTGGGCTGACCCTGGCAAACCAGACTTTGCCCCAAATGCAGAAGTCATTGCACACGTCTTCTTACCGGAGCAAGATATTCTTAAATCTCCAAACAGAAAGCAATCTGGAGGCAAATCTCATGCTTCAGGTTTCCCCAGAAGTTGTGACGACCAACGCATGTGACTCGACAGAGGGACTGCGAATGGCCAACTGTGCCTAAAACCTAGCTGGCCCTTTCCCACAAGTTTGCTTTGCCCCTGATTTCCGGTGGCTCCTTGTTAATTTCTCTTGGTTTCCTGCCAGATTGTTTTCGAAACCCTTTTGCTTTTCATCTTTGTACAAAACCAGGGGTGCACCAAGTCTATTCGACGAGTCTCACTTTGACGGTTTAAAGAAGACCGAGGCGAGCCGCAGAGGCGCTGGAGCCGCCCACGTTGTAGTGCACTGGCAAGTTGGACAGCGGCCTGAGCTGAAAAACCGAACCGGGCAACTTCTCGGCCAGTTGGGGCGAAATGCCAGCTGTAGGCGGCTAGTAACAGCGGGAATAAGTGGCCGGGCAACGAGCAAAAGCATAGAAAGGTAGTAGTTGTAGTGGTAGCCCTGGCAGTAGAAATGCTAGCAGTAGCAGCAGCAGCAGTAGCAGAGTAGAAGTAGTATTTGTTGCAATTGAAGCCTGCACTGACTTTGAGGCATTGCCCGGGCCGCTGGGGCCTCCATTGCAAACGCACAAGACGTGGCCACCTCTCCCGCTCGCAAGCTCGAAGCTAACAAGAGCTCTATTTCGGGTGGTTTCCATTGAAGGCCTCCACACTGGAGGCCTCCCTTCGATTTCTGTTTCAAACACACACCCAAACCGACAAACCGAGTTTGAAAGCCAGCACGCTTCCAGACATTGCGAATGCCTGCGGAGCCAATTACCATAACCGGCCTAAGGAAGCGCAGCCTGCAGACCACACGAGCAGGGAGCAAGGCTTCATACGTGCGACGTTGACGAACGCACGACATGGCTGCGGCCGTGGTACCGTAAAACGATGACATGGGCCTCCAGGCAGACTTCACAGCCAAATTGCTTCCCAAAGCGTGACTCTTTGCAGCCAAGAGGCATTGTTTGCCCTGTGCCTTGCGATGGCACCTGTGGTGATTGCTGCTGAGGTTGTTGTAGCTGCTGCTGTTGTTGTTGCTGCTGCTGTTGCTGCTGTTGTTGCTGCTGCTGTTGCTGTTGCTGTTGCTGCTGTTGTTGTTGTTGCTGCTGCTGCTGCTGTTGCTGCGTCTGCGTCTGCGTCTGCAGCTGCTGTTGCTGCTGCGTCTGCGTCTGCTGCGGCTGCTGCTGCGGCGGCTGCTGCTGCTGCAGCTGATGCGGCAACGTTGGCTGCCTCTGCGAATGCCCTTGCTTCCCATGAAGAGGAAGAGACCTCAGCGCGTCCCTGTTACAAGCAGCCTTGCAGCTTGTAAAGCTTCCCAAAACAAGGAACAGCTGGCTTCAACGCCATGAGCCCACGGAGGTGAGGGGACATCTTGGGCTGGGCTCACAGAACAAGGGCCTGTTTGCCAGACGTGCCAAGAGGCCCAATCTTTGCTGATCCACCAAGCATGCATGCGACAAAGATGGCATGTCAATGATGTGGCAAGGTTGATTCAACAAGGGTGATTTAAGCATGTTGAAACAAGGGGTTGAATCACCCTTTCTCTCCGCATGCGGCTGTCTTGCAACCTTGGGGTTCCAGGCTGGCGAGTCACCTGGCGGACGGGAAAGTGCTCACGAAAGGGGGGGGGTCCCTCAGAAAGCATGCCGTCCATATGGGCTCGTCTGAAAATAAGGGAATCCCCCCACCGGCGGTTGTTTTGGTTGGTGTCCCTCCTAACGCCGCCGTTTACAGTAAGGGTGCCCACAAGAACGACACATGCATATTTGAGGCCAGTTTGAGCTTGTCGTTCCAGGTGTTCTTGAATGCAAGCAGAACTCATATGTGACGCCTCGGTTTGGCTCTGTTGAATGCACGCATGCGTACACGTTTGAGCCCGTGGCCCGAATGCACAGTTGTGATGATGTAGTAGAGGCAAGAGATGCGTGCACCACACATACTGCGATTTGGTGGCATTTGCATGTTTCTGGCTGCAGGTACACTGAAAATATCCTCGAGATGGGGGTTACGATTGCAAAACTTGGAGTATCATGTTCATAGCACTTGAGTCATCTCAGTCACAAGTGCAAGAATCTGCTGGTGTTCTGTGGATAGAAGTCTTTCAGTGAAAGGTTCCTCTCCAAACATATGGTGGTCTGGTTTCAACTTGGTTCGGCTGGTATTGGGTTTCCAGGCTTCATGTTGATTTCCAAGGTTTCATGTTGGCTTTGAGGGTCCATGTTGCTCCTCAGGTCTGGTGATGGTGTTCAAATGTCCTGTTTGCTGGCTTCTAGGTGTCATTCTGGCTTCCAGTCTTCATATTGGCTGTCAGATTTCATGCTGGTTTCATGTTGGATTCAGAATTGGCAGATGTTGCAGGGTGACTACAAAGTCCACCAGGCTTCATCTCACACAAGGGGGCATGCGACAAAATCTGTCTGAACCCTGCAAATTGCCTTCACAGATCTTATGACACACTGCTTTGCCAAGCATCAATACTAGAATTGAATGGTTCCTTGCAACAAAGTGAAGCTGGCATCTCACCCAGTCACCACTTCCATGGCTGTACGCCTCACAACCAACCTCTACATCAATTGCTCCACCAGCATCGCATCTTCTGCATCACCAGCATCCCCGGCATGCGACATATCATCATCATCCCCAGCACTGCCAGCATCACCAGCATTGCCAGGTGCAGGGACACGCTGACCAGCTGCAATGTGCAAAGCACAAGCCTACATCTGCATCCTGCGAATTCCTCCCTTCCCCGCCTGCACCTGGGGGCCCCCTTGCGGTGGCCTCAGAGCGCTTCGCTTTCAGAGACTCACGCCATATCCAAATTGTGAAGACGAGAATTCAGTGCCCGGAGCCCCGGAACCACAAAGTCCGAGCCGAACGTTAAAAAAAGAAAATGTAGGAAAAAAAAAAAAAAGGTTGTAGGAGACAACCGGAGCCCTGCCCCCTTTTGGGTCAAAGTTTGAGCTTGCCCTTTTGGTTTCTCGTGAAATAGGTGCACGACGTTCCACTCGGCGTCCTTTGCCAGGCACGAAGAAATGTGGGCAATTTCAACAGAGATCTGTCCAATACCCCACATGGAAGGACCCAGATCAGCGTTTTCTCCGTTGGGTGAGCTCCAGTGAAGTCCAGCTGATTCGCAGTTTTCTCCAACCGCATTTCTGCACTTGGGGTATTGCCTTTCTTAACGTTGATTTTTCAATGGTTGCATCAACGTCCCTGAAAAAGCGGAACCCCTCAACGCCCATCCAGAGCTTTTTGTGCAACGCACTCTCGCCCCCCCCCCCCCACCCCAGCCTCCCCCATACGGTGGACACTGCACTTAAAGTCTATGTTGCAGCCTTTTCTCTAAAACACCTAGTCTTTCTCTTTCTTCTTGGGGTCTTTGCAAAATCATCCAATGGCACCGCCCGTTGACTCTCTGCTCTCCGGGGCTGGCGCAAGGAGTGGTGAGGCCGTCGGTAGAGCCCATGCTGCGCCACGTAGTCTGCGGGCGGCCTCGAGAGTTTTGCGGCAAGATACGTCTGGGCGCCACATTCAAACATCACCCGAACAGGAATGTCATATGGCAACCAAAGGTGATACTTTCACCACACAACAAGCATACATGTGCAAATTCTATTGGAATGTGAAAACTCAAGACAACCGATCCCCAAGTACAGAATCTGTGAAACAAGAAATAGAAAGATATGCAAACAACAAAACCTCGCACAGCCTTGGGCCCCCTGCGGCCGGTTCCGCGAGGTCTGCGCCGCCCCAGCTGCCGGGGCGGCCGAGTTGGGCCGACCACCTGGGACGGCATGGGTCGACGGCTGGTTCTGCCGGGCACCTTGGGTCGGAAACAATTCCGGTTCTACATGAAAATAACCAAAAGAAAACTGAAATAACCAAAATGGACGGCAACTTCGACCAAAAGAGCGCAACACCTGAAACGACCGTCCGCCTTGCAACGCCTGAAATACCCACATGGCCGGAAGCTATTGAACATGACACCCCAAAATTTCGGGGTGAAATCCCTCGCGACAAATCAAGCCTTTTGCAAGTCCCATGGAGTTGTGTCCAAAATGTGACCAAAAGAACGCACAAGCTGAAACGACTTGGATTCCAAGCCGGAATAACCATATAATCCTGTGGCTGGGAGGTTCGAGGTCGCAAACCTAGCAGTTTCTCCAAAAATAAGGAACTCCAAGGAGCCTCATGGGATAAAGCCATCTAACTGAGATTTCACAAATAAACAAGCACGCAAACAAACAGACTGAAAGAGTTGTCCACCTTGGAACCACATAACGGCAGACACTACCAATTCATTCCCAAACCTCTGATCATGAGGTGTGAGTCTATTTAGCAAACACTCAACACTCAAGTTTTTTCAGGTATACTGCAATCTCTGAAGAAAAGTAACCTTAAATCAGGAAGCCCCAAGCAAGGACGCTCAATGGTCCACCGTCATCCAACTTGATTCTTGCATCTGCAGCTTGGCACCGCTTAGCTGCACACGACGCGGACCTATTTCCTAAACCTCTGGTCATGGAATTTCAAGCTATTTTGCAAACTACCTGCGTGGTTTTTCAAAAGTAGGCCGAGCCTCAATAATGGAAGCCAAAGAATGAAAGACGAGCCGATTAGTGGCCCGAAAGCTGATTTTCATGCGTGAAACAAGTCCAGCAAAGACGGCTGCGAGAGAACTTTCGGCAATCTCTCGAGCAATCTCTCTGAGTAATCTCTCTGAGCAATCTCTCTGAGTAATCTCTCTGAGCAGTGTCCCTGCACCATCTCTTTGCGCAAGCTTCCTCTCTGCTGTACCTCTGTGTGCGTGTGTGCGTGTGTGCGTAGAAGGCACAAATGCTGCAGGAAACGCAAGTTCGTGCAATCCAAGCTCAAAATCTCCGCAAATGGCTATCCACGCAGAGGGCCAACCGTTCCCCGAAAAACGTAGCATGTCTATTGGATTGGCGCACGATTCCATGTGGAAACTTCGCATTTGGGTCATTGAGCAGACCCTGGGGCTGAAGGACGAATCTAAAGGAAGGATTTCTGGGGCAGATCTTCAGGCGCATGTTTACGGCGCAATCTGTCGCGATCTCTCAAACAAGCTCTTGGTAGCATGTCTCTGCACAATCTCTGCAGCAGCTCTCTTGAAGTCATTTCCAACCCTGCAAGCGCAGGCTTGTTTCTATGCCAAAGCTAAGCCCTGCACCCGCCACCACGGCTGAGTGGGAGGTGTACACACCCCCTAGGATCGGGTGATCAAACCGCATCGCAGCGGCGGGGCCTTGAAAAAATTGCGCCATGTTGCACTCACAACCCCTTGGACACCTCCAAATGGTCAGTGTCATTTTGGCATCTTTCGAACGTGCCCCCAGCTCCTCACAAGTTAACCCCACCGCCTCGAGGTAAACAAAGCCAAAAGCCAAGCATCTCTGCTCTCTCGCAGCCCAGTGTGCGGAACAACTGCTGCGAATGCCACCCAGACCCACTCACCGAATCTCAGCCGCAGACTCTGTGCCCAGCCTCACAGGCAAAAGCTCAGATGAGTTCGCAACCTTCTCAGCCGGTCTTGCTTCAAGACTCGTTCAACTTGCTCCACTCGGACCAGCGCAATTCATAGAGGCGAAGGTGAGGAGTCTTACGAATGTATCCACACCGACCAACCGGCTCTTATGTTGTCATGAGAGGGCCGCTCAGCTGCAAGTCCCCATATGCTGGCGCTTGTCAGAAAAAAGAGGCCTGAATCAACACACAAAATAGCATGCGTTTGTCCCCCCGCCACCACAAGCTCTCCCAACAAAAATTCCCATTGCAGAGAGCTCCATTCCGGTTCATCATATCCTGCCTTTCACTCCAGAGGTCTGTAGTGAAGCAAATACGATGACATGGGTGTGCCTTTGTTGATGGAACACATGTTGGTTGGTTTCAAAGGAAAACCAAAAGCAAACAATCGTTTGGGCAGCCTCATCTTGAGACTTTCCTGTGGGCCTTCCAGGTTCGATACCATGGCCGGCTTCCCCAGTCACAAAGGCCCTCTGGGGGCAATGACTTCTTCAGTCATGTCAGCAACTGGCGATATGACCAAGGGGCTCAGCGGGATGGTCCTTACCCCCACTTTTATAAATGGAAGATGGCCCATCAACCGACCCATCAACCAACTGGTTACATGCCCTGCTGTTTGGTGGTGAGCATCATTTTGGTCTTTCTTGTCCGCCCCTGGTTGCTCGCCCCAAAGTTGTGGTTTTCCTGTTAAAAACTGCTTGAGGCAGCCACCCTCAATTCGCTGCCCCGCCGGGCTGAGGCTTGAGGGGCCTCACAAGGCGAAACCGACATGGGTTTGTCTCAGGTCTAGTGTTCCAAACAAAGCAAACATTGGGAACATGCGTTGGAATGTACAGCTAAACATTCAAGCAACAATCACACAGCCAGAGGTTCTGCTTGAAACCTGGCCTTCGTATCGCCCCGGGCAGAATGTCGAAAAAGAAGCATTGGCACCATGAGACCGGCAGTTTGCGTATGGATTCAGAGAATGTTGGGCCTCGGCTCCAAGAATGTCTGATCCCACAAAGGATTCCGGATCCAAAGTTCTGCGTTTGGAGACTGGCCATGAACTGAGGCGGGTTTGGTGAAGAACAGACCAGCAGGTGAGCTCGCCATAAAATGGAAATGAAACGGGACCTTGCTCGACTCGTAGCACATTGTTGTCACATTTCAGGATGCCAACTCCGCAAACAGCATGTGCAGGGACGCAAAATCAAATCCTCGGCAACAGACAAATGATGTTCTTGTCAAGGATCGGTGGGTTGGTTAGATTATTGAAACCAAATTTGCAATCAGGACGTTTGAGATGATTCTGGGCGTGCCTTGGCTGAGGTCGAAATTGGTTTGCGCGGCGTCGCTCATAGCAGGAGTTGGTCACTCAACATACGCAAAAAATGCGGCTACTTGATCCAAAAACCTCACCTGTTCAACATGTCCACCAGCTGAATCCCTGCCCCCTCGCACCTCGTCCACTTTGCGGGACTCGGATGGCGTGGGTCAAGTGGCGCTGTGGGGGGAGAACAGACATGCGATTGTGGGGCGTCCTCTTTCGGAGATTGGCCTGGAATTTCTGACCCCATTCATTGCTCACGATGTTCAGGATTTGTGGAATCGGGTTGAATCTCGAGTGGAATGTCAACATCCGTGAAAAGGTCAGACATGGTGCGACAATCCAAAAGGTTCATTGCAAACCTTGGTTAGCCTGTTCCTCCTTCCTCCTTTCCTTTGTTCTTTCCTTCCTGTCTTCCTTGTCATTGTTGAATTCCTATGAAACCTGAAAGACCTGGAAACATGTCAAGTGAAAGCATCCCTTGTATTTCGATTGTGCCCCGAAACGGACACAGGGAAGGTCCCTAACTTCACCCTTTACCACACGTCCCTTAAAACGGGGCCATCAAAGTGACATCCTCAAATTTGCCCAATGGAAAACTATCCCCAGTGAAACTTTGAATTTTTTTGAAACACTTGAGACCACTTTTAAGGAACCCACAAGAACCTCTTCCAAAAGCACCACGCCCTTGATCTCTCCCGAGTACTGCGGGTACTGAGCTGATGATGCCATACTTTGTTGGTTCCGTTTGGAGAAAAGTCACACCTATGGTGACCTCGGCAAGAGGGACGCGTTGGTCTGGCTCCTTGTGACGTGAGAATTATTCAGAGACCCGAGCTTTGACAATAGCTTTCGGCTGTATCAGTCCAAACCCGAGCAGCCTTGAATATTATATTGGCAGCCATTTCACAAATTGCCGCACACGGGATGCACAATTTCAGGTGTCCTGACAATTTAATTTGGCACCCAAACCGAACCCTTCAGCCTGCCCAAACATGTCGAGAACTGGCCCCCTTCCAGAAGGAGCTGTCTTCCGCACCTGCGCCGCCGTTAGGGTGGTGCCTTGTACCGTTAGGGGTCGATCTACACTACCACGCCAACATGTCTAAACTGATTCAGAGTCACAGGTTATGACCAATGGTCCTTAATTGCTGCAAATGGCCAGGCATGCACACTAAGTGGTGGATTGGGCCCCGCGCCCCTGCCCGCAGGGCTGGCACTGGCGGTGCCTGGCCAATAAAGTAAAGAAACCCCAAGAAACGTGGGGCTATTTGTATGTGTAAGAAAACATGTGTAGAGCGTCTCTCTGTTTCTATCTCAAAAAGGCCAAGACTACCGGCACTTCTTCCAGTACTGCTCACAGAAGTCAAGCTTTAGGCAAAGCTGCTGTGGACGAAGCACATATATTTCGTGTCCGCTCTCCAGTCCCAAGATCTAATCACAGTCTTCCAAGAGAACCTGGCACTTGCCATCAGGGCAGGCACTTCCCGCCCTTCTTGAAAACTCCAAAAACCCCGAGGCGCGCGAACATCGCGAGAGCGACATTGGATCGGGCGCACCTACGGCGCGGCCCGGCAGTTGCGCCATCCTCAGCTGGAAGCTTCAAGCCAGCCTTACGTGAGGTTGAGCAAACGCAAAATGTGTGTTGCACACCAATGGCTCTATCTCTTGATGTCTGGCAAAAAGATGTATCATGCTTTCGAGGAGACAAGAACAAAGCAAACAATATAACATGGGAATTTCACGTGGGTAAGCCACACAATGCGTTGCCCGCTGCGATGGACCTGCGCCTGGGAAAGGGATCCACTTGCGTCCGAGAACATCCGGACAGAGGGAGCATGCCAAGCCAAGCAGGAAAAAGCAGCAAATGGACAGCCACCCCCCCGACCCACACACCAAGAAACAATGGCAAAGGAAAGAAGCAGAAGCTGGTTCGGGTCGCTCGGTCGCTCGGTCGCGCGAGCGCCAGGCATCTGAGGGCTCCAGGCATGCCAGGCCCTCAGCTGAATGGGGCGCAAGGCCCGGATCCCGCAAAATGTTCGAATCCAACACAGACCCCAAACTGGGTGCCGCTTCTTTGCCTTCTTTGGAGTTTTCTGAGCTTCGAGTGCCAAAGCAGTCTCTGCGCGTCCATAGCAAAGGGGTTCAACACGTGAGGGCTCTCCCCCATGCGCCCTGAAAGATGCTGCTGTTGGATGGTGAGGCCATGCGAAAACTGCCACGTGCCATCGATGTTCAAGCTCCCAAGCCGTGCGGGGCTCCGGTTTTTGCGGCATCGAATGTGACTAGCCAAAAGAACGCCACGGCTCCCTTTACTTACTGTTGGGGTTGCGCTCCTGATCTGTGCCCACACATACATGTTTATATATATATATATATAGAAACAATCAAGACCCAGAAAAGATAACCATAAGGGAAATTCAAACATGCTCACCGACCACAACCTGCCAGCCAGATGCGCCAACTTGGCACTGCAAAACTCCAGTTGTTTGCTAGTCGGCAGAGGCACCAACCAGTACTCCGCTTGGGCTGTGTTTGTGTGTGGAAATCTGGGGTTTCCTGTGAGAAGCAAGCCCGTTTTGGTTCACCAACATCTCGCCCAACTGTGCTCCAAGACCCCCGGGGTTCCCTGCATTGGCTGTGCCATCCGGCACACTGTGTCGGTCGGCACCAAAACTCGCCGCTCGCAAACTCGCTCACAAGCGAATTAAACGAGCACCCCGGCTTTGAACTGAACAGCCATGGATCCAGACCTCAGCCTGTCCCCAGCAACATTTTGGAGAACGGCAAGTGCGGTGGTCGGCATGCAATCCTGTGTTATGGACTGCGAAACTGCCCCAATGTCCGAGGGTGGGTTTCACTCAGCCAGTAACCAAATGCGTCACGTTTCTGTCACCCCCTTACCGCCACCCGATCAGGCAGCAAGTGCTGCAAACGTGCACTCCGATATCTCCTCGAATTTGGGATCTTTCCAAAGCGGGTTCTGAATTCTAAGCCACGCCCATTCAACGTTTGGGCGGTTGGTTTTTGACTGTTGTTCCAAACGCATGCATTGGCAACACGCATGTCATGTTGAATGTTCATAATTTCGCACAAAGATCGTAACCCCGGCACACAAGATCTGCAAAATGAATTGAATTTCCCGCGCAACGTGCCATTCAGAAACCAAACATTCTGTTTGGGGGTGCTGACAAAACAGAAAAACGTCATTTTGAAACATGGACGTGAACAGGTGCAACAAACAACTGCACACCAAATTTCAGCAGTGTCATCGCCGTTAGTGTAAACAACTACCAAGTTCGCAACCGGAAGCTAAAAAGGCACTGAATGCCTTGCGACTGACAAGGAAAGAGAAGCAAAGCTGGGAAGCCAGGGGGGCCCAGGAAAGAAATCTGAGTGAGGCCACGAACCCGTATACAAACATTATCCCAGCAAGAGACCCCAAATAGTAAACACGTCGATGCCCCTGCTCAAGCGTAGCTTCTGATGAGCAAGCTTAGCACCATGCTGCGGGAATGCACTTTATGTACAACTTTGGACTTAAAAGGTTCCGAGCCTCGTGCCATATCCATGCACTTCGTACACTCATACAAAGTTGCAGCGTTAGAATCCTGTTCACTGCTTCAAGCCAAAAGGGGACCAGTAATACAAAAGGGGGGGGGACTCACAACTCGAGTCGACCGAATCGCCCTGCTCCTTTTTTTATATGGCGTTGCTCAGAAGTCCAAGCTCGAGGATGCAGGAGGGACGACAACGCGTGCTAAAGATCCCGCGCACTGCTCCTAGCCTCAAACCACAAAAAACCCTGAACCCAAAAGCCGACAGCAAGGCGCACACCTTTTTACCGGGTTGCTTGGGAAGGTGGCACTTTCCTAGGGCACTGCGGTGCACCCAGGACAAGGGGCGAGATGTTCCACCCCCTTATGGAAAACAAGGTTGCAAGACAAGCGTGTCCTTGCATTAAAAATGCCAGACGGGGGGCGTGGCAAGCGTGCCCACGCCCGCGTCAACGGACCTGCGGGTCCAGAGACGCCCACAGGGCCAGACCGCGGGTCTGGGCCCTGGTATGAAGCTGAGAGTGCGCTCCCAGTTCATGTCCGGAGGGCTCCCAGCGGGGAGGGCTGTCCGGAAGGCCTAAGCGAGCTTAGGGCTTAGAAGGGTCGGGTGGGTGGGTTTCAAAACGAAACCAGGACTGCGAGTCCTAAACGTGAGTTTGAGGGCTAGGAGCACCAAATGGCGGCGGCGTAGGAGATTCACCCCCGACCTATAAACACAAGGAAAACCCTTAGCGTTAAAGGTCCCGCGCACTGCTCCTAGCCTCAAACCACAAAGAACCCTCCTGAACCCAAAAGCCGACAGCAAGGTTGCTTGGGAAGGTGGCACTTTCCTAGGGCACTGCGGTGCACCCAGGACAAGGGGCGAGATGTTCCGGAGACCGTCGCCGCACACCACGCTGCCCGTCGACACTCCGCCGCTCGTGGCCGTGAAGGTGCAGTCCAGGCTCTCGCAGTCCAGCGGACCCGCGGAGGCCGCCCCGGTGATCGTCAGCGTGGCGCCCGTGACCGCCCCGGTGGCTGCGAAGCTCGCCGCGGTTGCTGCGCCTGAGGCCGTCAGCGTGCCCGTGGACACGTCGCCCACCGTGGTGAAGTTCCCGGCGTTGGCCGTGTTGTTGATGGTGAGTGCTGGCTGTGATTCCGGTGGCCGAGCCCAGCAGGCCCACGCTGGCCGCCCCCGTGATGCTCAGCGAGCTGCCCGACACAGCACCTGTGGACGACAGCGTGGCTCCGGCGACGGTGCCGGTGGCTGTGAGCGCAGCGCAGGAAATGGCGCCTGAGGCGTCCACGCCCGTCGTGAACACATCGGTGCAGTTCACGTCGTTGCAAAGCAGCTGGTCAGGCCAGCAGGTCCGTCACGGAGACCGACTCACCCTCGAAGGCCGAGGCCCTGATCTGCATGCCGTACAGGTCCAGCGTGCCCGCTGACTGCTGCACCAGCCCGGGGATCCGAAGTGCAGCTTTGCGACTCCGCACCGAGAAGTCCAGGCGCGCCGTGCTCCAGACACCCTGCGCGGGCGGTTTCCGCGTGTCACGAGCGTCCACCGCGCCAGTCTCGCTCACGGGCGGTTTCCGCTCACGAGCGTCCACCACGCCAGTCTCGCTCGCGGGCGGTTTCCGCATGTCACGAGCGTCCACCGCGCCAGTCTCGCACGTCACGAGCGTCCACCGCGCCAGTCCAGTCTCGCTCGCGGGCGGTGTCCGCATGTCACGAGGGTCCACCGCGCCAGTCTCGCTCGCGGGCGGTTTCTCCATGTCACGAGCGTCCACCACGCCAGTCTCGCTCGCGGGCGGTTTCCGCAGGTACGAGCGTCCACCGCGCCAGTCTCGCTCGCGGGCGGTTTCCGCATGTTCCACCGTCCGCATGTCACGAGGGTCCACCGCGCCAGTCTCGCTCGCGGGCGGTTTCTCCATGTCACGAGCGTCCACCACGCCAGTCTCGCTCGCGGGCGGTTTCCGCAGGTCACCAGCGTCCACCGCGCCAGTCTCGCTCGCGGGCGGTTTCCGCATGTTCCACCGCGCCAGTCTCGCTCGCGGGCGGTTTCCGCATGTCACGAGCGTCCACCGCGCCAGTCTCGCTCGCGGGCGGTTTCCGCATGTCACCATTTTTCGCTCGCGGGCGGTTTCCGCGTGTCACGAGCGCGCCAGTCTCTCTCGCTCGCGGGCCAGCCGCGCGCACCCAGTCTGCACCACACCGCCGTCCCACCAGCCAGCCCCACCGCCGTCCCCCCAGCCAGCCTCGTACGCCGGTCTGCACCCCTAGCCGGCATCGCACGCCCGGTCTGCAGCACAACGAAATGGAAATCCCTTCTTATCTCCGTCGTCACAGCTTGTATCGCTCCCAGGCACCTCAAGAGAAAACCTAAAGCAGACCCAAGCATCAGAGATGCTTTTTGGAAAAAAATTAGGACTCTGTTCGGATGTTCGTGCGCCCTTTTGTTTGGTCGAGTGTGCTCAGCATATTCATGTCAACGTGCTTCCAGGCTGCTTCCAAATAAGTAGGGCGAACCCCAAGAGGCCACAGACTCTGAAGAGAGGGTTCGTCCTAGAAACACATTGGCACCATTTGCTCGGGTCAGGTGTGCGGCAGAATAAGTAGGGCGAACCCCAAGAGGCCACAGACTCTAAAGTCCTAGAAACACATTGGCGCCATTTGCTCGGGTCAGGTGTGCGGCAAAAAGGACAATCTTGGCGCGCGGTGAACGCCGGGCTGTTCACATAGAGCCGCGCACGTGGCCTTCACAAACTTGCTTCGTAAGCTTGCTTGGATTCGCTGGTTTCTCCGCCGATTTTCCCATTCGCAACCAATTGCAACTGGTGACTTTGTGGAAAGGGCCGCGCACGCTGTCAATTGGATGCGTGTGGATGGCAAGTTGTGTGGAGACGGGGCCGGCGCTGCGCTTTTGCGGGGAGGCTCGGTGTGGACGATCCTCGGTCATTTGGCGGGTCTGACGTCGTTCCGAAACAAGTCTAAAAAAAACAGTGTTGCCACGATCTGCGTAGACCGGGGTCAGCTGTTCGGATGTTCATGCGCCCTTTTGTTTGGGCCGAGCGTGCTCAGCATATTCATGTCAACGTGCTTCCAGGCTGCTTCCAAATACGTAGGGCGAACCCCAAGAGGCTACACCTTCTGAAGAGAGGGTTCGTCCTAGAAACACATTTGCACCATTTGTTCGGGTCAGGTGTGCGGCAAAATAAGTAGGACGAACCCCAAGAGGCCACAGCTTCTCAAGACAGGGTTCGTCCTAGAAACACATCGGCACCCTTTGTTCGGGTCAGGTGTGCGGCAAAAAGGACAATTTTGGCGCACCTGCAACGCCGGGCTGTTCACATGGAGCCGCGTGGCCTTCACAAACTTGCTTCGTATGCTTGCTTGGATTCGTTAGTTGCTCCACCTATTTTCCCATTCGCAACCAATTGCAACTGGTGACTTTGTGGAAAGAGCCGCGCACGTTGTCAATTGGATGCGTGTAGATGGCAAGTTGGGTGGGAGGGGGCCGGCGCTGTGCTTTTGCGGGGGGCTCGGCGTAGACAAGCCTCGGTCACTTGGTGACGCCTGTCCGAAACAAGTCTGAGACAGTGTTACCACGATCCGCGTAGACCGGGGTCAGCTGTTCGGATGTTCGTGCGCCCTTTTGTCTGGGCCGCGTGTGCTCAGCATATTCATGTCAACCTGCGTCTGCTTCCAAATAAGTAGGGCGAACCCCAAGAGGCCACAGACTCTGAAGAGAGGGTTCGTCCTAGAAACACATTGGCGCCATTTGTTCGGGTCCTGTGTGCGGCAAAAAGTGCGGGGGCTCGGTGTGGACAAGCCTCGGTCACTTGGTGGGTCTGACGCCTGTCTGAAACAAGTCTGAGACACAATCTGCGTAGACCGGGGTCAGCCGTTCGGATGTTCGTACGCCCTTTTGTTTGGCCGAGTGTGCTCAGCATAAACATTTTCAACGTGCTTCCAGGCTGCTTCCAAATAAGTAGGGCGAACCCCAAGAGGCCACAGCTTCTCAAGAGAGGGTTCGTCCTAGAAACACATCGGCGCCATTTGTCTCGCTCGAGGGCGGTTTCCGCCTGTCACGAGCGTCCCCCGCGCCCGTCT